AATTTTAAATGTAAGATATTCTATATTCTTTCTTCTAACCTAACAAACCTAAGTAGCCGACTTCAAGCACTATAAATAATCCATCGTTTACACAATATGATACCATTGTTATTGTTTACTCTTTTTTCTTTAGTCCTATATCATTTTTCCTTTGTTTTGTTCAATGCGTTTTAATTAAATTATCATTTCTTTCATCCTTTGGTTTATAAAGTTATTCTTTATTATTTCTTACTTAAATAAACTGATAATAACTATGTATTTTGTGTAGGATTCCAATTTAATTTAGTTGGAGGAGCTTAAGCAAGAGAAGTCTAAACCGGGGAATCCTGAAAAGAGATTCATATAACGAATTGGAGTATAGGCCAAATGCAGGATTTAAAGAAAAATGGTCTTCAAAATGTGGATTACGAAATACAGAGTATAAATGTAAACTGGTAAGATTTCATGAATTGTGATTACACGTTAAAAGCATAGCCATTAATTATTTTAAAAATATATATTTTAAGATGTAACGAGACAAAATCAATAAAAAGAAAAAAAAAATGAGAGCCAAACTCCGAGCTGAATTTCAATTATTTATTTTTAGATCCAAGCCAAAAAATGATTAATTTATCATATATTAATTATATATTTACCGTAAAAATGATTAACAAATATTTGTAATATTTCTATTTTATCAAAAAGAAATAAAACTATTCTCCCGTAAGAATATGATCGGGCATATTTTAACAAAAATATGAACCTAACGGGTGCTTTAAAACTATACACAATTATTTAGCCATATCCAAAATTAAACTCTAATGTTATAGACCAAATTAGTTTACAATAATAAAAAAATTATACAAATATGATTATCGAGTTTACAAACATCAGTTAGTCGACTAAAATTTCCTAAAACTATTTGTTTAAAAAATATTCAAATACACAATAACTTACATACAAAATATACATGTCAAATTAAAACCAAACAATATACAATATATGCATATTTATATTAAAATCAAATCTAATATACACGCGCTATCTATACTATTAAAGCTGAAGTACACAATGAATTTACACTTTAGTTTTAAAATGAATTTTTTTTTCATTTCTAACTGGGTTAACACGCGGATCTAACTAATTAATCGGATCTGTTAATCGGGTTTAATATTTTTAATCACATCCGTTAATCACATGCTTTAATAACACGCGGATCTAACTAATCTTTCGGATCTATTACTCGGGTTTAATATGTTTAATCACATCCGTTAATGATTATGCTTTAATCTCATTCGTTCATTGTTTACCATATTTTAGATCGGTGTTTAATATGTTAAATCACATCCGTTAATCACAAGCTTTAATCTCATTTGTTCATTTTTAGCATTTATTAAATCGGTTGATCTGCAAGTCCAATGGCCTCAATTTGCGTTGTTTATTCGGAAATTTATATATTACCGGTTTCGAAATCTAATAACATCTTACCTAAATTACAAATTATAATTTATCATCATCCCATCAAATTAGGGAACTATAGTCATCAAATATTAGCTAACATATTGGAAAATGGATCTTAGCCTTTAGTTTCCACTAAACAAATCACAATCGTTAATTTCAAAAAAATGATTAGATATTCTAACCACAATCATCTTCGAATGAATATTGCGTCTAGAGAATATTCTGCTAATTATACTCCCAAATCGTTTTAAAATTACCATAATTCAAGTATTTTCCATTCCAAAAACAAATAATTTAGAACTCTTTGTTTCTACGTTTGCTTTTCAATCATATTCTTCTTGCAACCTAAAAAACCCTACTCGGCAAAAATGTCTATGGCTCTTCCCCTCTCATTCACACCACTCAAAGATTTGAAAACTTACAAAAACTCATGGCATATTCAAGTCAAAATTCTTCATAGTTGGAGAATGTTTTCAGCTAAGTCTGGTGAATCAATAGAATTGATTCTTGCGGATGAAAAAGTATGTCTTTTATTTTCATTTACCACATGTACTTTATATAAGCTTCATATAGTTTATAATTGTGGGTTTTAATGTATAGGGTGACAAAATGGGAGCTTATATTAGAAAGGATCACACGAAGAAGTTTGAAAAATACGGTTAAATATATATATTTTTTTGATATTACACATATATATATATATATATATATACTTATATTACAATATATGCGTGCTTATATAAAAGCCCAAAAATAAACATAGTAAAATTACTACACCCTTATCTATTAATCATATAATAAAAATATACAAAAAAACACCAAATATTTATACAATACATATTTTATACACTACAAGTTTTTATTTTTTTACAAAAAAAATTATTCAACCGTGCGCAAGCACGGGTTCTCCTCTAGTTTCCAGTAAGGCAAACACCTTACAAAAACATACAAGACCACAAGGGCCTAAAGAAAGGCACACAGGCCCAATTACAGGACTATCAACAGTCCAACAGACACGCAGGCCCAAATAAGATAAGGGGAAGAAGCATGAAGGAAGACGAGAACTTACTCCTCTAAACAGGGCAAGCGCCGGCCCAACTAGCGACGACCCACTAACAAAAAACAACCATAAGAAGGTTGATGTTAATAACCCATAATCTTCTTATTCTAAATTCGTGGTTTTAATTTGCCTTTACGTCCTAATAATAATAAGAAGGCATTTAAAGTGGGATTTTCTCCAACCACGCTTCTTCGATCTCAACACATTCTGGTTTAAAGCTTCTAGGTTCCTCAAACCACTAAACCGAAATTGAACCAAATAAAAGAAAACGGTTTGCCTTTTAAACAACTACAAATTAGTGTATCACTAGGCATTCATCTGCAAAGGCATAGCATAGTTCGTTCAAAGGTACCGTTAGTTTTCACTTCTTGGCGAAAGAGACGACCATTGGATTCTGTGGAGTGATCTTGAAACCCTGAAGAGCCTGCATGGCCATGGAAGATTGAACATCGTCTTCAAACTCCACAAACGCAATTCCGGGTTTTGCTTCGATCATTCTTATCTCCTTGAATCCTGGGTATTGCTCAAACAACATCTGAAGCATCATGCTAGTGGTCTCAATGGGAAGATTTTGAATGAAGAGTATGTTGTTTGGTGACATCGTGTCTTGCCCGCTCGGCTGGAAAAGAGGCTGCAAAATTGCAGAGACGGTTATTGGATTAATGCGGAAACAAGAATTTACAGACTAAGTTGCAACAATGATGTATGTTAGAAGTTAAATGTTGTGTTATTGGAATGCTGCAAGAAAGAGAAATTACCACAGGCCTTCTATTCTGAGCGGTTGCACCATTAGGCATGCTTGGTTGTTGAGTTTCTTCAGCATGTCGCTTCCTTTCAACTGAAAGTAAAATGTGCAGTTTTGTTAAATATCATATGGAAAGTAAAAGAGTAAGATAAAAACAAGCTGAAATGTTTGAACTTTGGGATGGACACGAAAGTTCAAACCTTCCTCTTCTTGCTTTATCTTCTTTTCTTTCGGAACAAAAGTCCCTTCGGCTTTAGTAACACAATCTGACTTTGATTTTGCATATTGTATTCGCTGCACCGAGACAGATCACAAATAGCCATGATGTGAATACTAATGTTTAATGGCAAGTTAAATTTCACTAGTCTTTTACTTAGCAATCACTTTTGTAATCATATACCTCAACATCTAATGTCGTCATATTTCCTTCAATTTTGTATCAGCAAGCAAATTTAATTCCCAAAGTTAATCTCTACAACTTTCTAAGCTTACAGTCTCACATAAGAAATTTTCAGCAAAAAAAACGTATAGCGAGATAGATAAACCTGGAACATAAGGCATGAAAAGGTACCATTGGCTTATCATAGAAGGGAAAGTTTTGCATCTGACGGACAGCATTACTAGCAGCTGTGACTTCAGTGAAGACAACCCATGCTTGTCCCCTGAGCTTAGGAGTCTTTAGCGCAACCACATCAAGTATCCTTCCAAAGTGAGAGAATAAACAGTAAAGAGATCTCTTCAGCTCTGGAAAAACAAAAACAAAAGGTTGAAACATTAACACCTGCTTAAGCATTACTCTTATCACCCAATTACACAACAAAGGTCTAAGAAACCAAAAGCAGCTCAAGTCTTAAAATTAAATTCAATCCAACAATCTAAATGACCTATGTAATGAGCCAAGACGACGACTCTCCTAAATTCCTACCTCCCTAAAAGTGAAAGGCATCTAATTCAACCAGTGTAAACCCTTGTCAGACCTAACACACGATAACTCAATCAAGAGACGCTCACAAGACAAAAATTGGGAACAAGCAACTCAAGCATTGCAGAATCTGAAGCAAGCAGAAGGAGTAAAATAACTCACAGAAAGTCACCACATCAGAGAGATTGAAACAGAGGAATGAAAAGACGTTACCTTCTTTCTTGACCTTCTCATTGATGTTTTTAATGTAGATTGACTGATTCGGCGGTATATCAGCCGTTAACATTTTTTTTAACTGAGCTCCGCGAAGACGACGACACTGTCATTACCCCTGCCCTAACTGAAGCAGACAGACATAACGGAGGAGAGAAATCGTCGCGTTTCCAATTTACACACGCCGTCTAATTTGTTTTGACTTTAAACTTCCTACCGTTTAAAATTAAATAAAACAGCACCCAGTCTTAAAATATTATTAAAAAACGTCTTGGCGTTCGAAAGGGCATTTCGATGTTTTGTTAGGCCCTATCCCTTTCCCCTTTCTTCCTCCGCATCTCTCTCTATCTTCTTCCTTCTGTTAAACCCTACGAGCTTCTTCTCCCTACCACTGCTCGGGTCTTTCACAGTAGAGGGAACCATGAATCCCTCCCTCGTTACCGCCATTAACGCTCCAATTTCACCTTCTCCTCGGTCTCCACTTCTCTGTCACTTCCTACCTTCTTTACCTCACCGTTTCTCCAAGTCTGAGTGTTTGGCACGCCGTCGTTATCGAGTTTCGTTCCCTCGTAACTCAGCTGCTTCCTCCGACCAAGTATCAGTATCTACGCAGGCCAAGAGCAACGATGTACACGGAAATAAGAAGGAGCTCACTGGATTGCAACCTATTGTTGAGAAAATGACGCCGCCGGTGAGGCTAGCAACTTCTGCTGTTGTTTTAGCTGCGTCTTTAGCTACCGGTTACGGCCTTGGGCTTCGTTTGGCTGGCTCCAGGAATATTGCCTTTGGTGGTGCTGCTGTTGCTGGAGCCGCCGGTGGAGCTGTCGTATATGCGTTGAACTCTGCTGTACCGGAGGTAGCTGCTATCAGTTTGCATAACTATGTTGCCGAATTTGAAGATCCTGCTGCTGTGACGAAAGAGGATGTAGAAAAGATCGCTGATAGGTTAGTGGTTGCTTGAATTGTTGTCATTTTACTGGGATTTACACAAAAAGTGTACTTAACAATCCTTCTTATGTCTTACAGGTATGGTGTTAACAAAGGCGATGAGGCATTTCAGGCTGAGATTTGTGATATATACTGCCGGTGAGTGATGATTGAAACCCGAAATAGTCAGATGTTGTCCTCCTCCTTTCTCTTAATTGGAGAATTCTGTTTTAACCGTTGCATCTTAATCTTGATTAGGTATGTAACTTCCGTGCTTCCAACTGAAGGACAGTCTCTTAAAGGGGATGAAGTGGCTAAGATAGTCAAGTTCAAAAATGCTTTGGGGATAGACGACCCTGATGCAGCTGCCATGCACATGGAGGTGCTTTCTAGATTCTTTTCTTCGTTTGTATTAGCCCTTAGCTTTTCTGCAGCTGATTCAGAAATATCTTGATTGCATAATTACCAATTCCTTGTTTTGTTTAGATTGGCCGCAGGATTTTTAGGCAAAGACTTGAGACTGGGGAACGTGAAGGTGATGCAGAACAGCGTAGGGTGAGTCGCCAGTCCCTAGTATTTGTTATCTTTTTGTAGGATTGTTTAGAAAAGAGAGAACCCAAGCGTGATCACAAGTTGTATGCTTCCAGTGCAGGCATTTATGAGGCTTGTATATGTTTCAGCTCTTGTGTTTGGAGACGCATCATCCTTCCTTTTGCCTTGGAAGCGAGTATTGAAGGTCACAGATGCTCAGGTAGGCATCTCCAATTTTACATAGTTTTGATTTTGCACAATATTTGTTTTTTGAGAAGTTGCATAGCAACTTACTCCGACATAGTAATCTGAAATCTCTGCTAATGTCTTTATCTTATTTCTAGGTTGAGATTGCTATCCGCGAAAATGCAAAGCAGCTGTATGCCGAACGGTTAAAATTAGTTGGTAGAGGTAATGTTATTCATGTTTTACTTTATGAGATGGCAAGTAATGTTACAGTTGTAGAACGGAGAAAGTTTACTTTTGTTGGTTGTATCAATTATTGTGGCACTCTTTTGTCGATTTGGTTTTGTAATATTCATTTCTCGGAAAGTTGTCTGAATACTAACCTTAATTGTTACTCTGCATGGGACTTTAATGATGTAATAAATCCTTCTCATTTTAATTGGAAAATAGATATAGTTTAGCTTTTTCCTCAGCTTGATGCCTGGAAACTTACATGGTTATCTTTCTAAACATGTTCTTGTAGATATTAACGTAGAAAACCTTGTGGACCTTAGAAAAGCACAACTATCATTCAAGCTCTCTGATGAGGTACTCTATTTCTTTGTGACATTGACTTCCTCCACCTCTGGTTATGCTTCTTCTGACAATTTCTTCCTCCTCACAGCTTGCTGAAGACCTGTTTAGAGAGCATACGAGAAAAGTAGTCATAGAGAACATTTCATCGGCGCTCAGCATACTAAAATCTCGCACACGAGCAGCGTAAAGCACTCTAACATATTGCTTACAGAATGATGCATAGAATACTTATAATCCATGTGAATTAATTTGCTTTACACATTCAACTTTTTTATTCTTATACTAGTTAGTTGTGACTTCTGCTGTAGGCTTGGGTGGATATATGTATAACCATTGCTTGAACAGTGAGATTGGTTGGGATGATAAGAGATTGAAGTTTTGCCTTTAGTTTTGAGTTTTGGTTTTTGCAAAAAGTGATCAGTGATATTTTCCTTCTCTGCTTTTTGTGAAGTGTCTTTTAGTATAAGTATTTTCAAATAGTTTAAGGCTAAATAGTTGTATACTGTGAAGTAAAGTTATGAGATTAGAATCTTTAGGCGTTTTTATATCCATTTAATAATGCATAGTGGATACAGATTAGATCATCTAGCAAATCTAGTTTATAGTAGCTGCAATGCATGTCATTTAAATAACCTGATTTTTTTGCAGGAAGAGTTTGGCATCTGTCGTGGAAGAGCTTGAAAAAGTACTGGAGTTTAACAATCTGCTGGTATCCTTGAAAAGTCATTCAGAGGCAGATCAATTTGCACGCGGGGTTGGCCCTATTTCTTTGATAGGTGAAGATGCTTTTGACCTTCTCTTTTCTGAATAAGAATTATAGGCTCTCAACCTTGCATCTTTGTGGCTTAGGTGAGGAGTCTGATTTCGAGAGGAGAATGGATGATTTAAAGCTCCTTTATAGAGCATATGTTACAGATGCTTTATCTAATGGGCGCATAGAAGACAATAAGGTAAATTCACACCAGGTTTATATAAGATACTATATACTTAAGCTTGGTTGCAAGTTCTTTAGAGAGCAGGTGTTTCAGATGCTGTTTCCTCTATCCAAATCCCATTATGTTTTCATTTCTGATTGTTTTCTTACTGAATGGTAGCTCGTAACAATGAGCCAACTTAGAAACATACTCGGACTGGGAACACGGGAGGCTGAAGCTATTAGTGTTGATGTTACGTCCAAGGCATACCGTAAAAGACTTGCTAATGCTGTTTCTAGTGGTGACCTTGAAGCACAAGACAGTAAAGCAAAATACCTTCAAAAGCTTTGTGAAGATTTGCACTTTGATGCACAGAAGGCAGGTGCAATCCATGAAGGTATATGGCAGACCTTCCATTCACCAATGAAACATTATGTCGTTACGTTATGGATGAGGTATACAGTTTGAATTGCTAAAAATCACCCAAATGTAAGATAGGTCCATGTATTAAAATCTTATAAGTTTGGTTGATGGATTGTAAACTACTGGTTCCTTATCTTTGCAAGCTAGCTTTTACTTTTGTAGATTTGGTTCTTAACAGACTTATAACAATTTCAACGTTTTCACAGGGTTGCATGCTGTTACTTTACAATTTTAATATCTATTTTGGTCTTTTTCTCAATGATCTGACAAGCACCTTCTCTTCCACAGAAATCTATCGGCAGAAGCTTCAACAGTGTGTTACTGATGGAGAGCTAAGCGATGACAATGTTGCTGCTTTATTGAGGTTAAGAGTTATGCTCTGTGTTCCCCAGCAAACCGTTGAGAAAGCTCATGCAGAAATCTGTGGAACCATATTTGAAAAGGTAATCCAATATCACCTCCTTTTATCCTATTTGCCATGTTCTTGGGTATTGACACTGCAATTTCCTGCTGTCTTTTAGAAAAACATATGTTGATAATACATATTATCTCATCTTTTGTCTTCAATCTTTTTCCATTGACTTTGATTTTGACTACATCATAACCTTCACATCTTGTTGCAAAAAAGTTTACCTTCTAATACTTATCTGTTTTATCTTTTCCAGGTTGTCAGGGATGCAATTTCTTCTGGAGTGGATGGTTATGATGCTGAAACTCGCAAATCAGTAAGAAAGGCTGCCCACGGTCTTCGGTTATCCAGAGAAACTGCCATGTCTATTGCTAGCAAGGCTGTAAGTATCACACTATTTACTTTCTCCATGTTTGGTATTAGGATTTGTTATTTTTCTGACTTCTCATAGCAGGACATGAAAAACAAAGCTCTTCACTGATGCAGGTCCGTAGGGTTTTCACAAACTATATCAGACGAGCAAGAGCAGCAGAGAACCGCACTGAGTCAGCAAAGGAGCTCAAGAAGATGATTGCTTTCAACACGTTAGTTGTGACTGAAATGGTGGCTGATATTAAGGGAGAATCTTCTGATAAGGCACCTGAGGAGGAGCCTGTTAAAGAGAAAGAAGAAGATGGTGAAGATGAGGAATGGGGATCTCTTGAATCCCTCAGAAAGACAAGGCCCAACAAAGAACTCGCTGAGAAGATGGGGAAGCATGGCCAGACTGAGATAACTCTTAAAGATGACCTTCCCGACAGGGACAGAATCGATCTCTACAAAACATACTTGGTCTACTGTCTAACCGGAGAGGTAACAAGAATTCCTTTTGGCGCCCAGATCACAACAAAGAGAGACGATTCAGAGTACTTGCTTCTGAATCAGCTTGGCGGGATTCTCGGATTGACTTCGAAAGAAATAGTTAACATTCACGTAGGTTTAGCCGAGCAGGCTTTTAGGCAACAAGCTGAAGTGATTTTAGCTGATGGGCAATTGACAAAGGCTAGAGTAGAGCAGCTAGACGAGTTGCAAAAACAAGTTGGTTTGCCGCAGCCACAAGCGGAGAAGGTTATAAAGAATATAACCACAACAAAAATGGCAAACGCGATAGAAACCGCTGTTAACCAGGGAAGACTGAACATAAAGCAGATACGGGAGCTCAAGGAGGCAAACGTGAGTCTTGACAGCATGATTGCCGTGAGCCTGAGAGAAAAATTATTTAAGAAGACAGTGAATGACATATTCTCATCAGGAACAGGTGAATTCGATGAAATCGAAGTCTACCAAACAATCCCATCCGATCTCAGTATTGACGTGGAAAAGGCCAAAAGAGTTGTCCATGATCTCGCCAAGAGTAGATTATCAAACTCATTGATCCAAGCTGTGGCATTACTCCGGCAGAGAAACGCTAAAGGAGTGGTATGCAAATCCTGTTTCCCTCTTTTTATGTCGTAGAAAACTCTGGATATTTGAACTTGTGGGTATGACATGTGAATGCTTCTTCTATGGTTGCAGGTCTCGTCGCTGAATGATTTGCTTGCATGTGACAAAGCTGTGCCAGCTGAGCCAATGTCATGGGAGGTCTCAGATGAATTATCCGATCTATATGCTATATATTCAAAGAGTGATCCTAAACCCGCGCCAGAAAAAGTCTCGAGGTTGCAGTATCTGTTGGGAATAGATGATTCAACTGCAACTGCGCTCCGTGAGATGGAAGGTGAAGCATTTTCTTCTGCTGCAGAAGAGGGCAATTTCGTCTTCTAAATCTTTGGAGAAAATAGCTTGAGTTATTTGTATTGTTTTATGGTCGAGGGAACACGATTTTTGAATTTTAAAATTGACCAAAGCCTGTGAAAATTTTGTATCAGAGCCAAAAACGTCACCTGATTGGAATAATTTAAAGATCCACAAGCAAGACGTGCACCATGTACATGTGGGTGTCACGTGATGGGTGTTTCCGTAAACGAACCCAAATCTATAGGATAACAACAATTAAGGAATTAAGTCAATGATTGAGATTTAACCCTAAGTAAAGATATTGAGGTGCACACCAAAGTAGAGCAGTACTGAACATGCTTAGATCTGATCTCATTGTAGTAAATTACTGTTTTTTTTTTTGTGAAATTTCTCATTATAACAAAGACCAGAAAATACCAGATGCATCTCTGTATAGTTTTGGCCTACTTTGATTATTCAATTTTGCTTTTGATGGTCGTCACTTTTTTCTTCTTCTTTATTATGTAAATCATTGTAACTAATTTAGATAAATGGAAGACCAAATGAAGATGAGAGGATATGAATCGAGAGGAAACATACATATAGTTTCGGAGATTATTTGGGAGAATACAAAAAAAGTGCAACTAATAACAGATTAGGAGAAAGATGAACAAAGAAGCAAGCAGAATCACTTAACATCTCTGAGTAACACCTTGACGATGGAAGCGTAACATCCTGAAGTTCTTGCATAATGATTGGATGATCCGTAGTCTAAACTCGAAGCAGATTCGGACCACATTGATCTCCTTCTGTTCCTCCTTCTGCTCGAATCAGATGTCCTCGATGGAGAAGGTGGAACCGAAGACGAGGGCGACCTTGTTGATGAAGACGAAGAAGAAGTAGAATAAGAAGAAGAAACAGGAGACGACGGGGAGCTACGATTCTTGGGAAGCAAGGAACCAAAGAGAGTGTTGGCTTTTTTAGGGTTTACGGGTTTTGTAGTTGTAGAGGAAGATGAAGGAGAAGCGTAGAAGTAAGAAGGAGGAGGTGTGAGTGGTGATGAAACCGGAGAACTGAAATCAGAATCAGAATCGAAACCGGACAAGGAGGATCGTTTAAAGAATCTTCTGGGAGTTCCGGGCTGAGATTCCCATTTGAAGGGAACGGCGGCCGATGAACCGCCGTAGTAGTCGCCGTCGACGACCAAAGTGAGGAGTTTGGCTGTGGAAACCCTAGAACGATCCATTTCATGAGGCATTGGACACTTTGTGTTAATTAGGAAGTGACTTTATTTGTTTCTGGGGTTAGCTCAATTATAACAACTATGAAAAGAAAGAGACTTGACTTTTTTTTTGGTTTTCTTAAATTATTGGGTGGAGAAGAAGAAGATGTAGATTCAGATTCAAAAGTTTTGCATTGTTTCTTGTCTTATTTTAGTATTATGTTTTTGAATTGAGTAAAAAAATATACATATTAGAATCTCGAGGTGTGATGTCTCTGGACTCTGCTTCATGGAAGCCACTGAGAGCATTATCTTGATGTTCCAGATCATCTGATCCCATTATAACTTTTATGCTATTTATATATATTTCATCTAAATTTTGGGACAATATATGCATGTTATATATATATAGTGTAACTCCGAGACTCTTGGGACTTATTTGCCTAAACGATCACATCCCTAGAGCTGTATGGTACATGTGACATTTCACACACAACTGTTACAAATTTTTATTCCAAAACATACATTACATGGCTAAAGTCAGAGAGGTGGAGTTGGTTTATCGCTGAAGAACCGTTTGAAGACCTTATCTTCAAGAATGACTAAGGCATGGCTTGATCTCATGCATACGGGTGTTTTGTATTGAGCTAAAGAGCTATCCTCAGAGATGAAAAAGTTCATCAGAGAATCAAATGTTCTTGGTTGTACCACTCTGATCTCCAGAGCTCCAATTGAATCATCCTTACTCCGAGATCTCCTGTAAAGAATGCCTAGCTTTTCTTCCACTTTATAGCAACAACCCATCAGTAGCCTGTCATCCAGTTCAAGGGTTGTGTTTTTTGTTTTCCGATTTCAGTTCCCAGTAAACAACATAATGGCCTGGACTAGTAGAGATGTCTGCATACCATGTAAAATCTGCCAATACCAAATCCCAAGATTCAAGAACCATCCTGGCATTTGTCACTGCCTTTATAAGCTCTTCCTCTGTAGTTGTCTCCACATCAACGCAACTAGTGTCTTCAATCCACTCGCTCACGTGACCCATTCGGATATTACTGCACATTTCCTTCCAATAATCTGCAAGAAAATTGATTGCTCGAACAAAAGTAGAAGCAAAAATAGCATTCACACTCACAACCTCTTCTCTCTGAACAAGTCCACAGAGAAGATGACAGTACATATGCTCTGCTTATTGTCTCTGCAGACATGGAACAAGATACTGCAGCTGTGTGTGCCAAAGTCTTTTCTTATTCTGTTTTCTTTCTGTTCTTGATAATAATATAGGAGGAAGCAAGGAGCAACATCACTACTATTTCAATTTTTTTAGCCAATCAGAAGGCTCTATTTCATACCCACTCTCACCAAGTGCGCGTTGCGCGAGTATAACCCCCAAAATCATGCCTATTTGATTCAACGCACTTCTTCCCAAAAATACCATCGCGTGACTTTTTTTACTCTTTTTTTTTTCCAAAATCAAAGTCCTAATTAATTCCAATAAACACCAAACCGAAATCAACTGTAATTTCAAGGCTATGTAAACCGAACCGAAATCAAGTTTCAATTGTTTTTAACAAAATCTAATCTAAGCCCGAACGTAACCCTGAGTATGTTTTGTATACTTTTAGCTCCTCTGTAGCCAAAATCAATAACGTAATGTTCACGGCATTGCCTTTGAAATAGTGTGAGTCGAATAGATCAAAGTATATTCCAAGCACGTTTGATGATCAAAGAGGCTCGTAATCACATTCTGCCAACTTGAAGCTCATCTCTTCTGTCATCAACATGTGTAACAGAGGAAGAAAATGTTCAAAGCAACGGAAATAGCCTGAAATGGAAGTGAACAAACCAAGGAATTGCGTAACACCCCAATCTGTGAAGGTGTTAACATTAAAGAGAAAAAAGGAAGCAGAACAAGAAGAAGATGCATATTGAATCCAGAATTGAATCCAGAAGATCTATCAGAAACCATTAGTTCCTAGCCATCTGAAAAATCTCCAAGGATAAAACTCAGAGTGGACTCTCCTAGACTTCAACCCTCACCTCCTTAGAAGCATATGGAGATCGCAGAGCAAACAAGTTGTTGACAGTTTTTCAGTAATCAAGATCTCTCTTGACACCAAGAAGGATTTCAGAGAATCAATGGTGGAAATGATAACAGAGAACAACATCAGAGCCTCTAAAGACTTGGAGGCATGTTACCTGACCTTGAATCCTAACTAGTATCATCATCTTGTCATCAAGATTTTCGTTCAATTCTAGCTTCAAGTCATAAAAAGCTTTTCCTAATCATCGCATGACCTTTGTTTGAGGATTCCGCCGAAATATTCATACTTTGTTCACACAATTGTAGAGAAGAAGATGAAAAGTTACAAATATAACAAATAGGAGAGGAGGAGCATCACTACTATTTCGTTTTTTTCAGCCAATCAAAACGCTCCATTTCATACCCACTCGCACAAAGTGCGCGTTGCGCGAGTGTATGCAATTCCTGTATGCTATAACCCCCAAAATCGTGCCTATTTGATTCAACGCACTTCTTTCTGAAACAATCGTCGCGTGACTTTTTTTTTTCTCCTCGAAACCTTATTTGACTTCCAATGTAAAAACCGAACCAACATTAATTGTACTTTCAAATCCATGTCAACCGAACCAAAACCAACTGTAATTTCAAAACCATGTCAACCGACCAAAACTAATTGATATACATATACAGTAACTGGTAGTGAACCAAGTTCCTGTCACTTGAAGTTGCATAACTTAAAAAAACACAAAAATACAGAACACAGAAAAAGATACCCACCAATCTTTTTAACAGTTATCATCGCTTGGGAACAAGTCAGTGCAGAGCTCACCATAGAATCTAGTCACAAGATCAATGAAGATAGGGCTATTCAGATTCTTCCAATAGTAGAGAAGCTCTTCCATGTCCATCAAGTCATCAATTTTCCCATCTTCAACGACCATATGGATCATATAGTTCTCGAAGCTTCTACAAGCCTCTTTCACACCATCTTCCTTTCCCATATATCTTTGACTCGTTCTCGCCTTCTTTTTACGTTGTGTCACAGCCAAAGGAAACATCTTCCTTGAATGCAGAAGCTTTACATCATCGGTCAGACTAGCTGCATTATTGGGGCATTCTAGGATAAAAATTAAGATCAAAGACCAACAAAATCGAAAATATATATTAACAGGGGAAATTGTTGTTACACGGGGAACTTCTGGGTCTGATCTGGCTCATCCTCTGATCTTTATTGGTACTGAGGAAACAGAGGCAAGACGACAACAAACTAGAAGAAGAAGAAGAAGAAGAAGAAGGCTGTGTGGTATTGACATTGCGAAAACGGGCATGAAAGAAGGAGATGAATCTGCTGCATGATCTTGATAACTTCGATTTGAAGCTAATCAAACTTGACTTCAGTCTCATTCTCAATCGTTACAACTCTGTTTGATTTTTGCTGTTGTTGCTGGCTTTGAGGGTTCGTGTTACGTGGTCTTCACGTTGTTTCCTTTGAACTCGTAATGGTGGTGCGCCATGAACTTTTATGGACCTATTAAAAAATCTGTTAGCACAAACCCTAGCTTTGGACCTAGCCGTTAACGCGTCTTTGAGCTTCACTCCTTTTTGTCCCGAACAGAGCCACTTCTCTTGGTCCTCTGCGGAAGTCATAGTTCGACTGTCTCTGAGTGGTTGACCCAACACAAAGTTTGGGGCACTCAAAAGAAAAAAGCACACGTGTCAGGTGGGGAAACCACAAGCTTATTGGTTTGGAAGAAGACGAATTATTTTATTGTATAGTATGCCGAAGAGTATTATGCAAATTGTATGTCTTTTTATTCTCTGCAGTCTTAACACCATTATTGCTATTATACTTGTGACTTGGCTAGGTTAAGAGCTAGATGGGGCCATGGGGGACCTGAACCTGAAATCTTGTTAAAATTTTTTTTTTTTTTTTTGGTTGTTGTCACGTTCGCCGAATCATGTTTTGGATGCAACTTACCAGAAATATTCTGTTTAGTGTAATCCCACCAATCAACCAAATTTATTCTGGTGACAAATTTTCCTGTTCATCAACATTTTCAATTCAAATCTAACAGTTTCATTCTTTAATACTACTGTACTGATTCGTTTGATTTGTTTATTTGCGTACAACTCACGTATGTCCTGGTTTAGTTCTCTCCTCCTTCTCCTTCTGTTCGTTTTTTTTTGTAAAGGTTAAAGAGTTTCTCATTTTCAAAAAGAAAAGACGGAATTATTTCGGTTTCCCCTGTTTAGAGATGGGATATTTTATTTGTGTCAATTTGATGATTTAGTTAACTCGATTTTGGGAGAGAAACAAAAGACATTCTACGAAGTGGACCCATATTGTTCTGTCCTGTCCTAGTCCCCTACATACAAATCCCAATCTTCACTCTCTTCTCTATTTTATCTGTTACAAAAGCATAGATAAAAAGAAACTCTGTAACTTCGGAAAAAAGCTCTACAGTTTTTTACTTTCTTTTCTATGAGGAATTATAAGTTGAGATTGCCAGCTATGATCCCAAGTGAATGGTTCCACAAGCTCAAGAACATGACCAAACTCAGAAATAAGCCTTCTCCTCATCCTTATTCTTCCAAGAAGGAAAAAAGTTCTTCTGGCTCTAAGTCTCTGTCTCTTCCTTACTCTTCAGGCTCTTATTTCTCCGATAGATCACGCACTTCCTTACAAACATCTAAGACCCTTCACATTTCGCCAAGAAACTCTCTTCACAAAATACAGAGCAAAAGAAAGACTGTTTACAAACCATCTCCTCCTTCCTTTTCTTCTCTATCTGCAGGTTTCAGCAAGAAGAAGATCAAGTTCATTCCAATCCAAGATTCTTTCTCTGCCTCTACCAACTTGAAACTCAGTTCTTCTGCAGATGATATCATCATCGACATGTATAATAAAGATTCCAAGAAGAAAATGTTCAAAGAGACTAGGGTGTTTGATTCAACAGAGAAAACCTTTCTTGGAAGTAAACGAACCAAGGAATTGCGTAAAACCCATCATCTATCTGTGAAGGTTGGCATTAAAGAGAAAAAGGAAGGAGAAGAAGATGCATGTCGAATCCAGAAGAACCATCAGAAACCATTAGTTATTAGTGCCAGAAGATCATCTGAAAAATCTTCAAGGATAAAAATTAGAGTGAGTTCTCCTAGGCTTCAGTTCTCACCTCGTAGAAGCAAATCGAGATTGCAGAACAAAAAAGTTGTAGACAGTTTTGCAGTAATCAAGAGTTCTCTTGATCCCATGAAGGATTTCAGAGAATCAATGGTGGAAATGATATCAGAGAACAAAATCAGAGCCTCTAACGACTTGGAAGATCTTCTAGCATGTTACCTTACCTTGAATCCGAAGGAGTATCATGATCTTATCATCAAGGTTTTCGTTCAAATCTGGCTTGAAGTCATAAACGCTACATTTGTATCCAAGTAAGAACGTGTAATGTTCTTAGCATAAACTATGCTCAAATGCATTAATTCTCCAGTAAATTGTAGTTATTTTAAAGAGTTTGATGTAATTATATGGTTATGATTAGTAAAAATATTAAAACAAACCTATTCAACAATTGAGCATTTTACGAAGTCATTGTTTCTCTGGCGTGAGAGTCTGATAGATATCCAAATTACAGCAATTAGCCCTAATCTCATCACTCCCATGACTACAATGCATGGAGCTTAACCGCATTTGGTCTTCTATCTGATATGCAAGTACTTTCTCAATTTGACATATAACTTATGGTCCATAAGCTATGGATGATTATAATTAAAATATAAAATATGAAACAGTAATGTGTGGTTTCAAAAATTAATGTGACATTTTTAGAAACAACATAGAACTATGATTAAATTCATCGAGGGCCTACTCTCTAGAGTCTAGACTCTAGTCGTTGCATGATTAACATTTAAAAAATAAAGGCTAAGCAATAATTATCGAGTTTAGTCAATAGTAATGAGTTAATATATTATAAGAGCGAACAAATGGGAAATAACAACTGTACTAGAGCAAAAATAATAAAAAAGCCAAGAGTGTAGTGACAAGAAGCACACGGAGAGGAGTCAGAAACCCATCGAGTACTTAGTAGCAAATGGGTTCCAGTCATAATGAATAATGAAGCTGGAAACATGAAAATGGAGCCTGAAGAACCTAATCGCTAGAGAGAGAAAGTAACACTGACACAGAAGAGGATATGATCAAAGAGGAAAAGCAGATGAAAATAGAGTTTTGAGAACCTAAACGCTGTGTTGTGTGATGGAGGAGAAGAAGATGAGGACCACTGCTTTGCTGCTGTTTCCCAATGCCCATCTTCTACCTCTACCATTTATACAGTTAGTACGTTAAGGACATTTCTCTGGAATTGATCAACCACAAACATAAATATTTTATGGAGAACACCTGACTCAATTGGAATCCAAGACATATACATTGGTTGGTTTGTCTTTTGCATTGGCACCACTGTTTGTTTCAAGCAAGAACGTTGTTTGTACGTTTTAACCAAGCTAGTAAAAACCATAATAGCTTTGATATAAAGCGAGATGAACTGCTATTAGATTAATTAAGCAGCCTAGTTTGGTTAACTAAACGATTCACAGCATATTACCATCATCATACGCATGACTTTTACGTGTCTTAAAGACAAAAGGCGACAAAATGTTACCCAGTTTTGTTTATATTCCATAGATGCCACAATATGTCACTGTTCAGCTCTTGTTACTCGTCCACACAAAAAAGGTCTGATGCCTACTCCAGTACTCCAGTTCCTATAAGCAAAGAATATAAAACATAATGACCGATTATACATTAAATTAGTACATGTATGATTTCTCATGCCACAAGTAAACAAGGAAGGTCATCAACGATTAGAACACAAATCCTACAAAAGCTCACAGGTTCAACTAACCCATTAAAAAGTTAGATTACCATGAACGGGTTTCACCTTGGTTTGTTGATGTTACTATCCACTGATAACATGAATGGTCAAATTTATAGAACCACCCATCTACATATACAAATTGGCCCTTTTATAGCACGACCCATTACATGGTAAAGTAGTAACGTTGATAGTATTTTTTTGGGTACACAGAGCACTACAATTAAGCATTATACATATGTTCACAGGTAGAGTTTCCTTCAAAACTTACTTGTGAAATCAGCACGAATATTGGTCGCTAAGAACTTAGTACGCTGTTTCTGAGAGTTCATAACGCCCTAGTTTCAGGGAATTGATATGATAATGCAGTACTGTACTACATCATTCAAGGTCGCCAGTGTGACAAAAGTACCTTAAACTATGTATATATGTAACTCACCTACTCAATGATGGCGCCCTTCACGCCTCATCTCAACTCGAAATTTATCTTTAATATCACCCTGTGGAATAGTGCCTCTATTATTAGAAACATGACAAAATTCAACTAAATGAGAAACGAATAAATTGCAAAAGATAAGTGAAGCTGTGTACATTAGTTCTGCGCACTAGAATAGGATTCTCATCTTTGATCTGCTTCCAGTTTGCACCATACCTGAATCACAAACGAGCACATCAAATCAATAAAAATGTATGAAAACTGTTCATCTGATGAACATCTAAGAGACTTTCAGGTTTCAAGTACTTTTCATAGCCTTTCATTACGGCCAGCGTTTCTGCAGTACTCCAAGGGACTTTCTTCCTTCTACCACCTTCTGAACTTCGGTTTCTTTTCAAAGGAGACACAACAATCTTTTTACGTTTTGTTTTGTTATTCCTTTCACCATCATCGCCCAGTTCCCCATCGGAATCATCAATGGAGTCTTCCCACTAATCAAACAAATGAAAATGTGAAAAACAAATCTGTTAGATCAAAACAGGTCCCACATTATACTTTTGCGTGAAATGCATGTTATTTTTTAACTCAGGTATAGCTGCCAAACCGAATACGCAAAGAGATAAATTCAAACAAAACAAAGCTAAATAATAGGAAAAATGAAAGAATGAATCAGAATAGTAGAGCTTAGAAAACTTAGTAAAAATGTGTGTCCCATCGAACTATCTTATCTAAATAAATGACTGAAGAAAATAACATAGATGATATGATGAACCAAAAACGAAATGCAAATTTACTTCATAAGTATGTGCTGTGGTACGTCGCTCCATCAAGCTAGGACTTGATGCAATGTTTGTTCCAGAAGGATTAACAACATCATTTTTTTGTTCTGTAATCGACTCAATGTTTAAATTTGACGGTCCTCCTTTTTCTAAAGCTTTCACCAGCTCCATTTTACTAGCTCTAAGCTTTCTGAGCGCTCTGTTAACAACTGCAGATGAAATGGTCTTGTACTGACGGGGAAAAAAATCAGCTTTTGACCCCCCAACAGTGGGTCTTTCCAGTTCAGTATCTGAGAGGTTCTCAACAACCAAGGGAATGTATAAGACAAAAGCAAAATCACACTGTAACAAAGTTAATAAAGATGAAAAAAACAAAGTTCAGAAAGTGTAAACCTTGGTCTTCATCCATAGCTTCAGAGGCCTTACTGTTTCTAATGGCCTCAGTTTCTCTTGCTTCGACCATTGATTCTGTCTCTTCAGATTCTTCACTAGATTCAATATCTTCCGATGCATCCATATTGGGATTCAACTCCGCAACAAGGTTGGGATTCAACTCTGAAACAACCTTCCTCAGACTAACCAAAGCTTTGTCTCTAGTATTCTCATCCATCAAACTCTTACAAGCCTTTTCGTCACTGTGGGCCGTCCATAATCTTCGACAGCTATTCAAGAGGTCACGAGTAACCAAACAACTAACCTTATCACATAAAGGCATAATCCTACGGAGCCATATCGATTTGATTGCTTCAATATAAGCCTCTTTTGCATCTTTCTCATAAGTGAGACACTTTGCTGTGCACTCCACAGCAACTTTACAGAACGCTTGCTTCACTGATTCGGGTACCTTAGAACCTTCTTTGTGTAGAATCTCTACTAGATTCTCTAACCGCTCGAGATTCTTCTCCTCCACAACACCGTCCTCAATCTCCATGAAAATCCCTTCGAGTATAGCTTCCTTCCACTGCGACAGTGCCATTGTTGCTAACTCAACCAAACAATGTTAGGAATTTTCAGAGAAATTCGCACTCTCTCGCTCGTCGATTCCGTTTCTCGAATCGGGTTGTTCAGGAATTGTCAATTAGGTTTGTAAAGCTTCAACTTTTCAATTTTCGATTCACTTTTTTCCCGGGGGTTTCGATTTCGGAGACAACAGACGAAGGAGCGGTGGAGGAAGGAAGAGCTATACCTTTTTTGCCGTTTCCGTCTCTCAAAATAACAACGCCTGCCGTTTTATATTTTACAAAACGACTTGCATGTCATATCCGTACAGAAACAACGGCAAGATATTCAGTGATTTTTTTTTTTCCTTTTTTTTTTTTAATACAAAAATTCAGAAGAGGGTAGTAGCGGCGGAATCGGATTCATAGCATACAGAGAAGCAAGACCTAAGAAGAGGAAGAAACTGCAGCAGTACCACTTGTTCACTACTCGTTATCTTCTCAGAACGAGGACAATGTCTGCATCAACGAAAAGCGTATCGACCTTGGACAATGTAGTGGTGAAGTCCCCGAACGATCGGAGGTTGTACAGAGTGATTGAATTAGAGAACGGATTGTGTGCCCTGCTCATTCACGATCCAGATATTTATCCAGAAGGCTCTGTTCCGGATCAAATTGATGAAGATGACGAGGACGAGGACGGAGAAGAAGAAGATAGTGACGGGAGCTATGAAGATGATGAAGATGATGAAGAAGAAGGGGAAGGAGATGAAGAAGATGATGAGGATGAGGATGAAGCTGAAGTGAAAGGGAAAGGAGATCATCAGACTAAAAAGGTTTTTTTATTTACTTTAAGCTTATATCAGCTGTTTCTTATTTTATAAAAGGTTTGATTTTGAACTCCTATGTTTTGTGTCGCCTGTCTTAGGCAGCTGCAGCTATGTGTGTTTCAATGGGAAGCTTCTTGGATCCTCCGGAAGCGCAAGGATTGGCTCACTTTCTTGGTATTTCCATCTTCCTATGAGTTTGAACTACTGTTTGATTGCACGTCTTTTGAGTATATTTTACTAACTGAATCACTCTAATGTTTATTTTTCTGTGCAGAACACATGCTTTTTATGGGTAGCACTGAGTTCCCTGATGAGAATGAAGTAAGCATTGCATCATTTTCTATGTTTGCTATGGTTTAACAGTATTCATATGAAAAAAAGTATTATGCTAACTTAAGAAATTTCAGCATGATATATGTTTGAATTCTTCTGGGTTGGACTTTGTTTTGCTTGCAGTATGATAGTTACTTGTCTAAGCATGGTGGAGCCTCTAATGCGTACACAGAAATGGAGCATACATGCTATCACTTTGAAGTCAAGAGAGAATTTCTTCAAGGTGCCTTGAAAAGGTAAAAAAGTATTGCTTGAGCTGCCACTCCACTTTTTACTGTTCAATTTGTTATCATATTTCAGTTTTCTCATTATATAGTAAAGGAAGATGTATTGTTCTTTTTATCCTTCATGCTCTTCAATATCTAATCACTTGCATTTACCTAATCCATTTGCTTTAAAACGTTTTCCATAAGCAATTTCAGCTTTCTGTTAGGTTTAATCTTTTTCCTTTTCGTTTGTGTTCTTCAGTAGGTTTATTTGACCGTAGAAATTTTTCTTGATATTAGGTTCTCTCAATTTTTTGTTGCACCGCTTATGAAGACCGAAGCTATGGAACGAGAAGTAATTGCTGTTGATTCAGGTTTCTCTTGCTTGTTAATCATACACTTAATTCTTTGTTTTATATTATCAAAATATCCATCTCAGATCAACAGTTAGATAAGTTTGCCTCTTATATGGTTAAAAGTGACTTGCTAACAAGATCCAAATTTGTAGAATTTAACCAGGCCCTCCAAAATGATGCATGTCGCCTGCAACAACTTCAGTGCTATACGTCTGCAAAGGGTCATCCTTTTAATAGATTTGCATGGGGTAAGGATATCTCGAAGTACCTCTCTTGCCACATTTAAGATATTCATGAAAGGATTTAATGTTAATGTGTCCTTCATGTGCTCTGGAAGGTAACAAGAAGAGCTTAAGTGGTGCAATAGAAAATGGGGTTGATCTACGGGAATGTATCATGAAATTATATAAGGAATATTACCATGGTGGATTAATGAAGCTCGTTGTCATTGGGGGAGGTAAATTTCTAAGTGTATAACGTGTTTAGCTGTGATTCTTGGAAAGTCGTTATATACATTCCTAAGTATTGGCTTTGTGCTACTATTTTAGTTTGTCGTAATTTAATGGTTACCTTTAAAATCTTGCAGAATCTCTCGATATGCTTGAAAGTTGGGTTGTAGAACTATTTGGTGGTGTCAAAAACGGATCCAAAATCAGGCCAACTCTAGAGGCAGAAGGTCCTATCTGGAAAGGCGGTAAATTATATCGCCTAGAAGCGGTTAAAGATGTTCATATTCTTGATTTGACATGGACTCTCCCTCCTCTTCGCCATGCCTATGTGAAGAAGCCGGAAGACTATCTAGCACATCTGTTGGGACATGGTAATAAATTGCATCCATTTTATCTTTTATACAGTATAGAGTTTTCTTCAAGTGTGTGCATGTGCATATTGAAGAATGTTATTTTTAACGTTGTGTTTTAGAGGGTAGAGGAAGTCTGCATTCGTTCCTCAAAAGTAGGGGTTGGGCAACCTCGCTGTCTGCTGGTGTTGGGGATGATGGAATTAACCGCTCGTCTCTAGCCTATGTTTTTGGCATGTCTATACATCTCACTGACTCTGGTTTAGAGAAGGTAACTTGACATGTTAATAAGTTAGATTTTTCTGAAGTTTGGCGCAGGGAATGATTCAATCATTTTCAACTGGATATATAACCTATGTCTCTGAATTTTAATATTTGTAGTGATTTATTATTCTGGCTGACAAGCTGACATAGCCTGTTCCTAGCTGCATATAGTCCCGTTCTTTTCTAATTTACTTTTGGTATGTTACTAGCTCTCATTTTGACCTTATGACAACTTTTGTTAACAGATTTATGACATCATTGGCTACGTCTATCAATATCTCAAGCTATTGCGTGATGTGTCACCACAAAAATGGATATTTAAGGAACTCCAAGATATTGGGAACATGGACTTTAGATTTGCAGAGGAGCAGCCGGCAGATGATTACGCTGCTGAGCTGTCAGGTTTGTGATTATATACTTATTAGTCTAGTTCGTTTTGAGTGAATCTTTTATGGTGCTTATAGTGGTTAACTTATTATCTTGGCATGTAAACCTTAATAGCTTCAGGATTTACCATCCATAGATGTGTACATGCAATGCAAAAATCTTCATCATGGGTTTCTTAGCTAATCACTATTAGTGTTATTGTACAGAGAATCTGCTTGCCTATCCGGTGGAGCACGTTATTTATGGTGATTATGTATACCAGACATGGGATCCAAAATTAATAGAAGATCTTATGGGTTTCTTCACACCCAAAAACATGCGGATTGATGTTGTTTCAAAATCCTTCAAATCAGAAGGTATGTTAAAGATTCCTTGAGTATGTAACTTTTGGATGTTTATTTATATTCTTACTGTTTTCTTTCAATCTTTGCTTGTTTCAGAGTTCCAGCAAGAGCCTTGGTTCGGTTCTCGTTACATTGAGGAAGATGTTCCATTGTCTATGATGGAAACATGGACCAATCCTTCAGAAGTAGATAAATCTTTGCATCTCCCCTCGAAAAATCAATTCATACCTTGTGATTTTTCGATCCGAGCCATTAACTCTGATGTGGATCCCAAAACTCAGTCTCCTCCTAGATGTATAATTGATGAACCATTCATGAAGTTCTGGTACAAGCTTGACGAAACTTTTAAGGTTCCTCGTGCAAATACGTACTTCCGCATAAATCTGAAGGGGGCGTACGCCAGTGTGAAGAACTGCCTTTTGACAGAGTTATTTATTAACCTTCTGAAAGACGAGTTAAATGAGATAATCTACCAGGCAAGTAACAAATTTTTAGGGGTCGACAAAAAAAAAGTAACAAATTTTTAGGAAGATCTTTGTAGATGTTTTTGTTTTAGTATTGACAGGAATATATGACTTTCTGCAGGCCAGTATAGCAAAACTTGAAACGTCTTTATCTATGTATGGTGATAAACTAGAGCTTAAAGTGTATGGCTTTAATGAGAAAATTCCAGCTCTTTTATCAAAAATCTTAACCATAGCCAAATCCTTCATGCCAAGCCTGGAGCGATTTAAGGTATGTGAATATTTGCATGTATAATTGTCCTACTTTTTATCCTCATTTAAGCTCAAAGTTCAAATTTACTGCCATATTCTTATCCTCATTCTTTCTTGATTCAGCTACTTTTTCAATCTAACCTTGTAGGTTATCAAAGAAAACATGGAGAGGGGGTTTAGAAATACTAATATGAAGCCTTTGAACCATTCCACATACTTGAGACTGCAACTCTTGTGTAAACGAATCTATGACAGTGACGAAAAGTTGTCTGTACTAAATGATTTGTCTCTTGATGACCTCAACAGCTTTATTCCTGAACTCCGTTGTCAGGTAACATTCTGCATCAGTGTGATTCCTAATTTTACTTAAAAACAGCTCTTGTGATTGTTCTTGAGTTTTGATTTTTGAATAAATTGGGTAAAGGTTAGGTAAAATCTCTGTTATTGTTTCAGATATTTATTGAGGCTCTATGTCATGGTAATTTGTCCGAAGACGAAGCAGTGAACATATCAAACATATTTAAAAACAGTTTGACGGTTGAACCGCTCCCCAGCAAATGTAGACATGGAGAGCAGATAACATGTTTCCCTGTGAGTGCCAAACTTGTAAGAGATGTCAATGTGAAGAACAAATCTGAAACAAACTCAGTAGTCGAGGTAAAAAAGAAATTTTCTTTTCTGTGATAAGAGTTGGCCAAGAAGAAAACATAGTACTTTCCTCGGGTATAACCATGGTTTTGAATTTGAATCTGGATCTGATTTGCAGCTTTACTATCAAATCGGGCCTGAAGAAGCTCAATCAACAAGAATGAAAGCTGTGCTGGATCTCTTTCATGAAATCATAGAAGAGCCATTGTTCAATCAGTTGAGGTCAGTCATATTTACCTATTTTGTTTTATAAACCAATTTGTAGTCATTAATATATGCAAATTTGGTTATAGGACAAAGGAGCAGCTTGGTTATGTTGTCGAGTGTGGCCCTCGCTTAACGTATCGTGTCCATGGTTTCTGTTTCTGTGTTCAATCTTCCAAGTATGGTCCAGTCCATTTGCTGGGGAGAGTTGACAACTTCATAAAAGAGATCGAAGGGCTGTTGGTAAGTGTGTAATAAAAAAAGAAAACATCTGAGTTTTGTTAAATCTTCACCCTCCTTGCTCCACCTAATGTAACTCGGGGCTGTAACTGCAGGAACAACTGGATGAAGAATCATTTGAAGATTATCGAAGCGGTATGATTGCTAGATTGCTGGAAAAGGATCCGTCTCTTTTGTCTGAGACAAATGAGTTATGGAGTCAGATTGTTGACAAAAGGTAAGGATCTCAAGGATTTGAAGTATTTGAGCTGCATTCAATAAGTTGCTTTGATCCATATCGGGCACATGAGTAATCCAAAATGGCTCACAGGTACATGTTTGATTTCTCGCACAAAGAAGCAGAAGAACTGAGAAGCATACAGAAGAAAGATGTGATCAAATGGTACAAAACCTATTTCAGAGAATCGTCACGAAACTGCCGTAGGCTTGCGGTAAGGGTTTGGGGATGCGATACGAATATGAAAGAAAGTCAAACAGATGAGAAGTCGGTGCAGGTCATAGCAGACGCTGTAGCTTTCAAGTCTACTTCTCAGTTTTACCCCAGCCTTTGCTAAATGATATAAAAAACAACATTCTTTACACTATATTTTTGCTGCCTCTATTTTTTTCAGTTATGTTTGCATTCACCCAATTTTATTCAGAACCAAGTTATACATTTGGGTGACAAACACCAATAACGCCCCTTTTTTTTGTTATGATTTTGAGAATATGCATTTAAATTATGTTTTTTTTTTTGTTTCTGTTTGTTGAGGTTAAAACTGTACTAGAGTTGCTTTACATAAAATATAACTATCATGTACGTATATATTAATTTTACCCAAAAAGCAGCAGCATAATTAGAAAACATTTGGAAAAAGTCGTTATCAGTTTGTGTAAAATCTTGCTACAAATAACCATCGACACTCCAACTAAATCCCAAATAGAGAACACACTTTTCTCTTTAATCACAGGTATAATTTGCCACAATAAATGAAAAAAAAAAATATATATATATATATATATATATTAATATATGCAATAGTCCAATAAATAAGATCATCGTGTAATAACTAATATAGTGAATGTCTTAGAAATATAACCAACGGTAAAAAAAAAAAACAACGTGGATCATGAGATTGTTTTCATTATTACGATAATATCCCGCGGTTAAATTTTCTGGCGTAGGGCCTGTTGAGTATGTATCATCTTCCTCTCTCTCTCTCACTATTTTTTCTGTGTACGGTGGTGGTGAGTGCAGACCCATCAAAATTGCAGAAATAGGCTACAAAATCTGAATCTCTCTTCTCCTCCGTCCAAGTTTTGAATTCTCTCTGGTTCTCTGATTCTCCTGTGAGTTCCTCTCTCTTCCCTCCTTTATCTTGTCGTTTTTGTCATTTCGCGTCTCTTGAAATTTTTTCCCCTTCAACTAAAATATCTTGATCTCTGTCTCCTAACGGCAGATCTAGGGTTTAATGGCTTCTGGCTTTCAATAATTCTTCTTCGTTCTCCGACTGACGAGTTTCTATATTCTCCATTTTCCTGCAGTTGTTGAGCTGCCTTAACCTTTCGATTCTCTCGCATTTACATTTACGTTATGCACGAATGAGGTTCGTTTTCTCCAGATCGCTCTTCTTTTCTTCGCGTTTTCACTCCCTATCGTATTGTTTCGGAATCTATGTGAATTTTTGTTTGGGTTGATTAGATCGTCGTAGATCGTGACTGAAGCGAGAGATTATTTGGAGAGCGAAGATGAGCGAGGGCCAGAAGTTCCAGCTGGGAACAATCGGCGCTTTGAGTTTGTCCGTTGTGTCGTCTGTGTCGATCGTGATCTGTAACAAAGCGCTTATTAGCACCCTTGGCTTCACTTTCGGTAACCTGTTCAATTCAACCTTTACTGCTACACGCTCCTTTTGATTATCCATGTTGCACGGAAATTGTTTACTCTGGATCCATTCGAACCTGTTTATCTTATGAAATCTGAGGAATGGGCTGAAGAATAGATTATCCATCATTTTACTTCATACTATATCACTAGCTCTTTATGATCTATTACCCGAATTGCCTTCATAATTGTATGTGTTTAAGAATATGAATGTAATACAAACGCTTTAGAATTTAAGATACTCCTGTCACTTTGAAAATGATGTTTGTGGGAAATCTCTTCTTACTTTATGAGGTGCTTTTTTACTCTTTTGCTCTTCGTTTCTGTGGTACTCATTGTTTTTTACTAGGGTACACACCGACATTCATGTGTAATATTGTACTGAGCAAGATGCTGTTCTACCACCGTAGCTGCTTATATGCCATCTTATGTGATTGGTCTCGTTAGCTTCTGTACTTACTCTTGCTATTTTGTATGTACAGCGACAACTTTGACAAGTTGGCATCTTTTGGTCACGTTTTGTTCCCTTCATGTGGCGTTATGGATGAAGATGTTCGAACACAAGCCTTTTGATCCACGAGCTGTGATGGGGTTTGGCATATTGAATGGGATATCCATAGGACTATTGAACCTCAGCCTGGGATTTAACTCTGTCGGTTTCTACCAGGTATATAATGTCATTTCAGCTACTGCATGATATGACTCCCATTCTAACTTGTGCTGTTCTAACCCTCTTCTCTTCCTTTGATAATAGATGACAAAACTAGCAATCATCCCCTGCACTGTTCTCTTGGAGACCCTCTTTTTCAGGAAAAAATTCAGGTTAGCTCTCAAAGTTCTGTTACTTTTTATATCTCTCCCATTAACACGTGTATAATACTTGATGTGGAGGAAGCTATTTTTTCTCATGGTCATACACTTCTGGTTGCGTTAACATAAATTTCTAATTTGATATACTGTGCATTAGTTCGGCAACTTAGTGATAGTCTTAAAACCAAAAAAAAAGAAGGAACCTTAGTGATAGTCTTATGTCCTTTTGTGTTGATAATTTATCATCAGAGATTATCATGGTTCATGAGTTTCTGTAGCTAGTTTAAGGTCAAGGGCCTATTTAATGACACACTTCTATTTTGTTTGTAGTCGGAAGATCCAGTTTTCGTTAACCATCCTTCTCCTTGGTGTTGGAATTGCAACCGTCACAGATCTTCAGCTTAATATGCTGGGTTCTGTCTTGTCAGTGCTGGCTGTTATCACAACTTGTGTTGCTCAAATTGTATCCTATGCTTAGCCTTTCTTTTCTCATTGCTTTATTCATTCAACGTTCTATATATCTTGTCTTAAGCCAATCCAATACTGTTATCTTAACCAACTGTACACAGATGACAAATACAATCCAGAAGAAGTTCAAAGTTTCATCCACGCAACTTCTGTATCAGTCTTGCCCATATCAAGCGATCACTCTTTTCGTCACTGGGCCATTTTTAGATGGGCTCCTCACCAACCAGAACGTGTTTGCCTTCAAGTACACTTCTCAAGTAGTGGTGAGACTCAATCTGCCATGAATTCTACCAAAACTATTTACCAATCTTCTTGCTTTCATGTCGATTCTGCATATTTACGAGTGCTTTTTTGTTGACTGCAGTTCTTCATTGTCCTTTCCTGCCTCATATCAGTCTCTGTAAACTTCAGCACTTTTCTTGTCATTGGAAAGACATCTCCTGTCACATATCAAGTTCTAGGACATCTCAAAACATGCCTGGTTCTAGCATTTGGCTATGTGTTGTTGCGAGACCCATTCGACTGGCGCAACATTCTCGGTATTCTGGTGGCTGTAATTGGAATGGTTGTTTATTCCTATTATTGCTCGATTGAGACTCAGCAGAAGGCAAGTGAAACATCAACTCAGTTGCCACAGGTATGAATCGTCATCTCTCTGTTTTCCGATAATATCTTTTTATTGGCTCGATATTTTGAAATCTGGAAACCAATAAATTGATCCCTTATTCATAGTAGAAAGTACTTATCTGACTAAGAAAGAATAACAAAAACTGATGTGAGATAATTCTGCTTCGGGTATGTCAGATGAAAGAGAGTGAGAAAGATCCACTAATAGCAGCCGAAGATGGAAGCGGAGTGTTATCAGATGGTGGTGGAGTGCAAAAGACGGTGGCTCCTGTATGGAACTCAAATAAAGATTTTCAAGCCTAAAGCTTCGATGATCGCTATTTTTTCTTTTTAAATATCAGCTCTCTTTGTATCAGATTTGTCGAAAGAAAAACATTTTAATTTCTCTCTTTTAAAATCGCATAGCAGAGAAGTAGGGGAGACTGAAAAATCAACAAACCCTTCCACACCGTATGGGAAAAAAAAGAAGAAGTAGAGAGAGTGAGGGAGGAAAAGGGAACAGCTTTGATGATCCATTTTATTATACACAGCAGGTTTTTTGTTTTTTTGTTTTATCTCTTTTGGATTTAGTATTACAACTCTGTATTCAAAAGTCTGTGGCTATATTCATCAACACTGGAAAACATATATTTGATTTTTAGGCTCCTTTTTATGGACACTGAAAACATATGTTTGGCTTTTAGACTCTTCATTTCATGAATCTAAACTACTCATTCTAAGATTCTAACAAATTCGTTACCAACCCCGATCAAATGCGAGTTACGTACCTACCCAATCGGATGTGAATAAAAGAAGTTTCTGTTCTTGTTTATATTAAGTATAGATGAGAACAAAGAATATAAAAGCACCAGTGGTCTAGTGGTAGAATAGTACCCTGCCACGGTACAGACCCGGGTTCGATTTCCGGCTGGTGCAATTGAGCTGTGAAGAAATTGGCATAAGCGTTGGTTGGGTCCTTCGCATTCTTCTGATTTCTCGGATGTATTCGCCACCCTCCTGAGCTCTTTCTTTTTTTTCTCCGTTTTTAATCCATGCATTTCCAACTTGGTTCAGTTTACATATTGAAAACAAATTACACCTCTTTTATAGTTTAGTATACAAAGTCTATTGATAATTTCTCATAGCCTGCAAATTCCAACATAAGCAAACCTATTTCCGGATGAAACCCCTGGATTTAACAACATACACACATCATCATCGGTAACAAAGAAATTGACACTTCTTACACTACACTACAGAGCTTTGGGTACAGAACGTTTACAGAGGATAAAATACTCAAAAAATAGTTTGCCCTTATGATTGACAGCGAATGCAAATTACACTGGTTGCATTTAGGTTTCATCACAACAAAAGTCAAAGCAAAAATAACAATTTTCTTGTTTTCTTCATTTGGATTTCCCATTGCATTCCATGCCTTCTATAGAAGAAGTAGACAGGAAGAAAAAATTGCTTTGTTGCCTTCGAACGCCAAAATGGTTGGCTCGGCTCATCTATTCAAATTTTATGCCTTAATCCTAAGAACCATCTGCATTGCTCATGAAACATCAACAGCTCTCTTTTGGATAACTTGGTCATGGTGTATTATATCTGACACTTTGCTCGGTGGCCAATATCGAAACACAGATCTCCCTATGATGTTCTTTATTGGAAGTGGACCCCTGCATTTTACATTCACCAAATCATCCATGAATCACAGAGTTTCTAATATTTAAGACAGAAGAACCATGAAATAACAGAAAATTTCCTCAGTGGTTTACCAGTTATGAGAGTCAAAACTTTTGTTGCGGTTGTCTCCTAGGACAAAGACATAACCTTCAGGGACGAACTGCAAATAAACAAAAAAAAAAAAACAGCAATTCTTTTAACAACTATTTAGGTCGAGAAATCTTTAAAATGGGAAGTGCAAGTTTGCTTACCATGGGTTCCATTTCATAGTTAATTGGCTCTAAGACAAAATCCTCTACTTGAACAGTGTCATTTACTAAGAGCTTTCCATCGCAAACCTATATGATACAGCATTAATCGGTTAGACAGGGAAATGTTACAAAAACAGAAAACAAGGTTTAAGGGTCTTTTTTGAGGAGATTGGTCATCAATAAGCCACAAGAGAAGTAATACCAATAAAGGTGAACAAAGACTTCAATGAATGAATAGGATCAATCAACAAGTGGATTAGAGTTAAGGGCTTACTTCAACCCAGTCACCTTCGCTAGCAACTATCCTCTTTATGAAAACATCAGTACAACTGTAACCATGTTCCTACAATTCAAAGGAGACTATCAGGCGCCTTTGAAACAGGTTTAATAATGTTTAAAAACCCAAATATAGTGATCTGAGATCTACCAGTAAAATAGGAGGAGCCTTGAAGATAACTATATCTGAAACCTCTGGTTTTCTGAAAAAGTATGAGACCTGTCCATCACAAAAGCAATAGACGGATTCGTTCAAAATAGTTAGTGCAGATCAATCACTCAGACATTAAGCCACATCACCAGTTAAATGATTCATGTGCATCCTAGCATATTTCACAACATAAGAAAAAACACATTTAAGACCATTTTCATAATAGATTTTAGTCCCTATAGTGCAGAATTGATTAAAGCAACCAATTTGAAAAAAACTCTTAAGATCAAACACCATTCTAGAAAAGCAAAATGCACATTTTACATAGCCAGTATTCTCACCTTCTCAGCCATAACACGATCACCCACATCAAGAGTAGGGTACATAGATGTTGAAGGAATAGACTTAGGCTCGGCCAAGGCCGATCGGAAAAGGATAGAAACAGTAACCGCCGTGAAAGCTGCCTTAGCATCCTCCGAGCAGATATTCAAAAGCTTATTAACCCAACCGTTTCCACCACTCGAGACATTATCATTCAACTCCAATTTCACTTTAGCATCACACACCTTTCCTACCGTATCAACGTCAGTAACGTCCGTTGATAACGTCGCCGGAATACTACACGGCATCCACTTGGAACCCCTAAGGAACGGGATAACAGAAGAGGTCTTAAAGGGAGAAATCCCGAAAACGTTCATACCCGGAAGCTCCGGAGCTCCTGTCAACCTCATGATGGAGATCATCCCCAACACAAGCGGACTCTTGCTTCCTTCTTCGAGGATTTCCCTGGCAATGGTGCTGTACATAGAAGCTGGTCGGGCACGAGGGCTTGAGCTGGGACCCCATGAGTTGGATCCAGGAGCTTTATCAATATCGGGTATCTGACTGTGACCGCAGAACCTGGGACGAACCCATGATTCGAAGCATGATCGAACGTCGCCGGTGCCAACACGAGTCCCGGCGGATGAAGCGATGCTCCTAGCGACATAGCTGGAGTAGGTGAAGGTAACCCTAATCGCCATAAATGCAGATTCGAAGAAGAATTGGACGAGGTGAGGTTAAATGGAGGTTCGGGGAGCGACAAGAGGTTATTTCTAAGGGGAAGACCTAGAAAGAATGAGGGAATCGATACCGGAAAAAAATGGATCGGGGAATTGGGAAGAGTCGATCTGCCGGAAAGAAAACCGGAGATCATACGCCGGCGGCGTATTCGAGGCGCGAAGAAGAAGGAGAGTAATACGGAGATGGGATCTCCCAGAGGAGAAGGGGATGGTTTTGGTCGAACGCAGAGAGAGTCTTGTTTAGTTTGGGAGCCTAGAGAGTTGGAGAATGTATCACTCGAATTAAATTAGCCTAATGGGCCTTAAAAAAATATACACAATTACCCTATTCATTGTAATCCCAATTATAATCCCAAGTAAATATGTTTAAGTATCAAAGACTAATGGTTGATAACGTTGACAAAAGTTATATTTTCCACACCAGAGTTACTTAAAAGTTATAAACAGATTTGATATCTATAAATTTTGCACAATTAGGAGACGTAACAAGGTTGGGTTCTTCGACTGAAGTAGTGGGAATGCATTACAAAAAAAAAACATGACGGCAGCACACATGTCATCATCTCTCATCACGACTTGTCCCGAAACTTCCTTGATATTTCTGAACTAAACATCAGCGACTAAGTTAATTAGTCGTTAACTTAGTTGGGTTAGTTTTGACCACAACCTGATTACTAATTAAGATCATGGATTCTGTTTTGTTTTTTCCTAAGTTATTATAGGTCTCTTTAGACTAAATTTCGATTTTATAGAAAACATCTCACAAATTTCATATTGGAGATGAAAGTCCAACGACAATATCTTATGGCTATGGGTTTAAAAATGTGTATGTAAGAAGTAGGTTAGGCCTTAAGTTACCGTTGCCAAGGTGATTTTATAGTTCTACCTTATGTAATTTTCTCTTTTTTTTTAAAAAAATAGTCTATATACTAATCCTTCTAACTAATCCCTTACCAATTTACAATATTGATTACTGAATACAGAAATGTTAGTTAAAAGTTGTTTTAAATTATATGTATATCAAATATAAAACTTAGTAAGAGTCATCAAAGCACCAGTGGTCTAGTGGTAGAATAGTACCCTGCCACGGTACAGACCCGGGTTCGATTCCCGGCTGGTGCAAATGAGCTGTGATGAAATTAGCATAAGCGTTGGTTGGGTCCTTCGCATTCTTCTGATTTCTCAGATGTACTCGCCACCCTCCTGAGCTCTCTTTTTTGTTTTTATTTTTTCTCCCATACGGAAACATCATTCAAAAGCTTTTGGTTCAACACCTCCCAGCTTCTTGTAAAATAAATTAAAAACATAGCAAACATCGTCGCATACACAAATAATTAAAATTTATTAGTCTCGTTGTTTTGTTCCTTGAAGAACAAACAATTGGAGAGTATCAAACATTAAAACCCACAATCAACAACAATTTTGACCAACACAATTTTATACGTCCTTTCTTGCACATTGGCATCTCAACAAAACCAAAAAAAAAGGAATAATAAATAATGAAAAGTGAATCAAATGAATTGGAAAAAATCTATTAACAGATGATTTCAGCCACCAACATAATCCTTGTTGTCAATACGCAGAGCTACTCTCACTAGCAGATAGCGAAGGTCCTTCAGATTTGACTAAGCTTGAGCTATTGCTACTTATCTCTAGCCCCTGCAATCGGCCGTTCTGTAGAAACTCCGATACGCTTTGAGAATTCGACATCTCCATTGGATTGAAACTAGTATGCATCTGCATATCCTGACCGTTCATTGAGCCATGGTATGGTGGAATGGCCATGAACGTTGAAGAAGAATACTGAATCTGCTGCATACCCATATCAAACGAATCTGAATTCCCAGAGATTTCTCCTGTCTCCATCTTCATCCTTTCAACTTCTTTCCTCAAAGCTTCGTTTAGTGCTGTTTTGCATCCACAAAAATCAAAAACGTACCAGAAGAATGCATAGAAAGGAATATGCTTTATTTTGATTTGAGTGGTTTTACCATTACGAAGCTGAGCTTGTTGCTCCATTGCTTGTAACCTGAGTTTCAGCTCTGTGTTCTCGTTTGCTAGTCCATTTGTGTCTCTCTGGATTAATCAACCCGAAAAGGAAAGTAAGAACATTTTTCAAATTCACCAAAAACACATCGAATCCTAAAACTTGCCAATCAAGAGTGATTTGGTGCACTAAAAGTAAAAAAACAGAGCAACCACATTGAATCTGTTAAAACCAACAAATAAAAGGAAGAGAAGCAAAACCTGGTAGAGAGTGAGCTGAGCAGAGAGAGTGGTGGCTTCGGTTTGAAGCGATTGAACCTTACGCTCAAGTTCTTGAATGTATCGAGCTTTTCTCTCCTTTGATCTAGCTGCAGATTGACGATTCGCTAAAATCCTGCAATCAAAATCCCCCATTTAAAAATTCCCTAATAAATATTTTTGTAAATTCCTCAAAATTCAATGCAATCCACCGTTGATTATTATTTTATTTTAATATTCAATTCTGGAAGAGAGGAAGAAAAAAAAAGAAGGAAGAAGAAGAACCTTTTGGCGCGTTTGGGATCGATGTTCCAAAGCTCGGAGAGCTTTTCAGGAGGCATAGCTTTCTTAGCGTCCATGATTTCACCAGCATACATAGCGCATCCAGCGTCAACGGAATTGCTGTGACGGTGACGAGGACGAGAAGAGGGCGGAGGAGGATTAATAGCGCCGGAAACGGAGTTGGAAGAGAGAGAAGGATTTGGAAACGGATTGGGATTAGAGGTGAGGCTATCGACGTCGATGAAGGATGAGAAGAGATCGTCGTCAGAAGGAAGGTCGTCGGAGGAAGGAGGTGCGCCGGAGGAGAGCGGATCCATGAACATGAACATAGACATGTCGTCGGAGCGAGATCGGCGGTGGAAGGAAGAAGCAGGAACGGGATCGGCATTTGGAATTGGATGTGGATGAATTGGATCGGAGAGCTTCGGTGGTGGAGGAGGAGGATCTGCTGAGTTCTCCATTGGTTTGGAATTGGAAATCTGAGGAAAATGCTGTGTGAATTGTTTTTCTTAATTAGGAGAGAAATTGAGAACCAATGTCAATGATGGATTGGAGATAGATAGATGATGGAGATGAAGCTTTCTCTCTCTATGAAACGAAGAAAATGAAAGAGAGGAGCTGTGAGGAGGAACTTAACTGTGAGGAGGAGAGAGAAGTGACGTCCTTTAACTATAAATTACCCGCAATGAAATTATGTTTATGAATTTTAAAAGAAATGATTATTAGTGATGAAAAGTAAAAGGCACATTGGCACGTGAAGCATCGCAGCATCTTGTCTCCCCCTCTCTCTCTTTTTTTATTTTATCGTTTCTTTCTTTCTTGAATTGATTAATTGATTTTAAGTTTTTAAATAATCCCCTACTACCATTGTAAGTTTTTTTTCTTTGTAGTGTCTTCTGATTGAACATCTTGTAACTATACGTATGTATATGATTTTTGTAGTTTTTCTAGATCATTATTGCATAACATCTCCCCACGTCTGATTTCTAGATTTGCATATCTTTCAGTTTAGATAAACAAACCTTATATTTTTTACGTTGTTATATTTTAAACAAAATCTTATAATGTCAAAAAGCGCCTGTAGCTCAGTGGATAGAGCGTCTGTTTCCTAAGCAGAAGGTCGTAGGTTCGACCCCTACCTGGCGCGTGTTTTCTTTTATCTTGTTCTTTTTCCACATTTGCATTATCGTACGTTTGGGCCTTCTCTTAATTTGGATATTGGGCTATCATTTTAAACATCAGCCCAACTAAACTACCGAAATAGACCGGAATCATCATTTAATAACCTTGACTTTCGTCGACCTCGACCGTGCGTTAATTCAAAAGCTTAATGATGCTTACTTATTACCAACTAAAGTTTATCTCCTAACCTTTTTTATTTATTTATCCACGGATATGAAAACATCAAAGTAAAAAAAAAAAAAAAAAAAAAAAACCAAGTAGGTTTAGAATAATTCATCATCACCTATATTTTATTATCACATAATGATTTTAGTTAGGAAACCCTCTATCCCTAATAATAACAATTCATGTGTATGCTTTGCTTTCTTTTCAAAATAATTCCCCCAAGATTGTCCTATTTCTTATTTAAGTAGTTTAATGCTAGCTTCTTTTGTTTCCATTTTTAGTTATTATTACTGCTATTTTTGTCCCTAGCTTTTCAATTCTTCGTCGCTATGTGTTTATTGCTTTCTAAGTTTCAATCATATTCCAAGTTTCAACGGTTTAGTATCTTCAGGGAACATAATGGTTACAACAGTTTTTTGGTCAAAAAAAAAAAAAAAATGGTTACAACAGTTTAATGCGCTCTTAGAAATGAAATGAGTTAACCATTTTTCCAATAAAAGTCGTCTGTAAAATTTTGTGACTTCTAGTATCCGTGGTCGTGGAGACCAAAAATACGCGTAAGTACCACCCTTGTACTTTTCTCTTGTATATTATACATACTTTATTTACAAAATTAAATATCTGTAAAATTCATCGCACTTGGTAAATTTACCTACTGACATTAAAAAAAGGAAAAAGGATAGAAAGGTCAAAGGACAGGTCATAGATTAGAAGGAATGATTAATGATTAAAGAAAGGAAAATAAAGCTAAGTAATGGTTTTTTTTTACGGAAGAAGAAGAAGAAGGTGCAGTAATGGCGGCGGCGAAAGTTACATTTTTGATGACGCTCCGTCGGTCTCATCCACTACTGCCTGAAATTGTCAAACAAAGAAAATGTCGTATCACCACTCTTCAATGCTCCCACCGAACTCGAACCACTTCCCTCTTTCTTTCTCTTCTTCACTATCTTACTTGTTCGTCTCCTTTTCCTTTTAACTCTCTCTTTCTCTCTCTCTCTCTCTCTCTTTTGTTTGTTTTCCTGGGTCTCCTCTGTTTCCTCTCTCGATATGTTTCCCAACCATGTCTCTTGTCTCCTTCCTCTGCTTTTCGTCTTCTTCCTTTGTTGCTCGTCTTCTACTTTTGCTCAAGACGACATCACCAATCCCGTCGAAGGTTTCCTCTTCTTCTAATCTGCCTTCTCTCTGGGTTGGATCTTCTTCAACCAATTTGTGTTCAGCTGATTTGGTACTGATCGTTGATGTGTTTTTTTTTTTTATGGATTCAGTGAGGGCTTTGCGAGTGATCAAAGACAGTCTGAACGATCCCGTTCATAGATTGAGAAATTGGAAGCATGGAGACCCGTGCAATTCGAATTGGACTGGTGTTGTCTGCTTCAATTCCTCTCTTGATGATGGTTATCTTCATATCAGCGAACTGTATTGTCTTCTTCACCCTTGCTCCTTTTTAAAAAACACAATTCTTGAGCATTTGTCTTGCTTGAGACTTGTTTTGAGTAGCTTGCTTTCTTTCTTTTTTTTTTACTTGAAGGCAATTGTTCAGTATGAACCTCTCAGGAAACTTGTCCCCGGAGCTTGGCCGGTTGACTCGTCTTACCATCCTGTACGTGTTTTAAGGAATACGATACATTTACCCAATGATGTATTCAGTGATGAATAACTTTCTTTGTCCTCTAATGCCAGGAGTTTCATGTGGAACAAGATCACCGGAAGTATACCAAAGGAAATTGGGAATATCAAGTCTTTAAAACTCTTGTAAGTCTTCGAGTTTCTTCTTGTTTACTTCCCTGCCTTATTTTTTTAGTCTTGGTTTACATTTGCTTGGCTTCTAACTTGGTGTGCTACTATCCTTTTCCAGGCTCTTGAATGGAAATCTCTTAACTGGAAACTTACCCGAGGAGCTTGGGTTTCTTCCAAACTTGGACAGAATACAGATTGATGAAAACCGTATATCAGGACCACTACCCAAATCGTTTGCAAACTTAAATAAAACAAAGCACTTGTGAGTTCTTTAATCATGTGTTCAGTTATTCATTGCTGTTTTGCTAATTGTAATTCCTGAATATGTTACATTTACTGCCTTTTTTTTCTCCATCTTATCTTTTCCCAGTCACATGAACAATAATTCAATTAGCGGGCAGATACCACCTGAGCTTGGAAGCCTACCATCAATTGTTCACATGTGAGTTGGTAGCATTAACAGGCTTAAATGATCTTATTTGATAAATGTTATGTTTTATACCTTATCTCAGGTTCTAAGTCTGTAGCATGCTACACACGCTTTACCTATTTAAATTTTATGAACACTACTTATTTTTCTTACAGCCTTCTTGACAACAACAACTTATCAGGCTATCTTCCTCCTGAGTTATCAAACATGCCAAATTTGCTTATCCTGTAAGTTCATGTCACGATTTTTTTTTCAATTTCCTTGGTCCTCTCACCATACGGACTGGTGAACCATGTATTTATTCTTTTCTTTTTCACCTTTTTCCTCGTGTTTATTTTGGCAGACAATTAGACAACAATCACTTTGATGGGACTACAATTCCGCAATCTTATGGAAACATGTCTAAACTTTTGAAGATGTAAGTTTAAGTTTCACAATGTATCTTGAACTCAAAGTCACTGAAGTGTGAGGCTGGACGAATTGTCATCCTCTTTTAATGCATTCGACAATTCTGGTTGAGAGTCATGCATTGGATTTGAACTAATCTGTGCATATCTTAAGCTCTCGAGATGGCAATCAACAGTATTCTGAGCTAATTAGGATAAAGCATTCTAAAGATATATGAGCATGCATTCTATGCTATGCTAACCAATGCATATTTTCTATCTGTCCACGGGCAGGAGTCTTAGGAACTGCAGCTTGCAAGGGCCAGTGCCTGATCTCAGCAGTATCCCGAAACTTGGTTATTTGTAAGTCTTTCAACTTATGTAGCCGCTTCCTTATATAATCCTGCAACTACCTTGGCAAATTAATATCATCTGTTTCTAATCGTTCGACATGAATTCCAGGGACCTAAGTCGAAATCAGTTAAATGGATCTATACCTACAGGGAAGCTCTCTGATAGTATCACAACCATGTAAACTTTTAGTGCTTTACATAATTCTTGCCTTTGTTTTAATCCGCGATATGCATTGTGATTAGTATTCTTTATTTTTATTTTTTGGTTGGAAATGATGTGCTTCTAACTTTGTTATCTTCTGATGAAAATACTACAGCGATCTGTCCGATAACAACCTAACTGGAACCATTCCAACAAATTTCTCAGGCCTTCCACGGCTTCAAAAGTTGTAAGTGTGTTTGATTGGTGTATTGAGCTTTTTAGTTTCTGAGATACTGTTGTTGTTTCTATCATTTTTTAATGAATATGTATGATGGTTTTTTTAATTTTTCTACCTAATGTGACAGGTCGCTTGCAAACAATGATCTAAGTGGTTCGATTCCCTCTAGAATATGGCAAGAAAGAGAGCTGAACTCAACCGAGACTATTATTGTGTATGACTGTAACAATAACAATCATATCTCTTTTCCTTTTACCTACCAGCATGTTCCAACTTTCTTTATATCATCTCTTGATGTCTGTCAGTTCCTTTATGTTTTTTTCAGGGATCTGCGGAACAATAGGTTTTCAAATATTTCTGGCAGATCCGACCTTCGCCCAAATGTGACCATATGGTTTGCTTCTGCGCTTTCCTATTTCTCTTTATTAGGTGCCCATGCATACTTATTGTGCTTTGCATATCATTCTAGCTACTAAATGATGTACATAACATCTTCTTTTTTGTTTGCTCATTCTAAATTGTAATAAACTCCTTCCTTCCCTCAGATTACTGTTCATTTTTCTTGTATCATTTGACGTTGTTTGTTTTCCAGGCTTCAGGGGAATCCGTTATGCTCAGATGGAAATCTGCTTCGTTTATGTGGACCTCTAACTGAGGAAGACAATAATCAGGGTCCAACCAATTCTTCTTCTACGACTTGTTCTGACTGCCCACCCCCTTATGAATTTTCACCAGAACCTCTTAGACGGTGCTTTTGTGCTGCTCCTCTACTTGTTGGATATCGGTTGAAAAGTCCTGGTTTCTCAGATTTTCTTCCTTACAAATCCGAATTTCAGCAATATATCACCTCTGGTCTTGGTTTGAATCTGTATCAGCTGCGCCTTGACTCATTCCAGTGGCAAAAAGGACCTAGACTTCGAATGTACTTGAAGTTCTTTCCTGTTTTTGGTTCAAATGCCAACAATTCCTTCATATTTAACCGCAGCGAGGTTCGGCGGATAAGGGCCATGTTCACTGGATGGAATATCCGAGACGAAGATCTGTTTGGTCCTTATGAGCTTATGAATTTCACATTGTTAGATGTCTACAGAGATGGTTAGTAGCAGAGTATTCGTCCTCTGATATTTATTTCAATCCAAAACTTGGTTAGAGTACAAGTAAACAAATTGATACAACTTTTGCATAGTTGAGCTTTGTGTTTGACTGTCATGTTTTTTTTATTTGTTTTGTAGTGTTTCCTTCAGCTTCGTCATCTGGTTTAAGTAAGGGTGCAGTTGCGGGAATTGTTCTTGGTTCAGCTGCTGTTGCAGTTACGCTAACCGCTATTATTGCCCTTATCATTATGAGGAAGCGTATGAAAGGATACAATGCGGTTGCTAGAAGAAAGCGATGTAAGCATTTTATTGTGGACGCCACTATGTTTCGGAGTATATTATTTATCGGAATTGTGTATTAGTAGTGGTCATATGTTGTTTTTGGTTTTGGTATTACAATTTCTATTCATCCATGTGCAGCTTCCAAAGCTTCTTTGAAAATTGAAGGTGTAAAGAGCTTCAGTTATGCTGAGCTGGCTCTGGCTACGGACAATTTTAATAGTTCTACTCAAATTGGGCAAGGAGGTTATGGAAAGGTCTACAAAGGCACCCTTAGCAGTGGAACGGTTGTGGCAATTAAAAGAGCACAAGAGGGATCATTGCAGGGGGAGAGGGAGTTCCTTACTGAAATTGAATTGTTATCGAGATTGCATCATAGAAACCTTGTTTCTTTGCTTGGATTCTGCGATGAAGAAGGAGAACAGGTACTGATTTCCAAAACGCTCTTCTGCTTGAGGTCCAAAATCTTTATATGTTTCTCTTATTGCTTGTATTGCTACGCGGGCAGATGCTGGTTTATGAGTACATGGAAAATGGTACTTTGCGAGACAACATTTCAGGTATGTTCTGCTTCTTCACTGAATCATCTATAGTGCTGCTTGTTCTCTATGTGGATCAGGAAAGACTGCCCACTTTTCTTAATGTGGATGTCTTTGCATATGAAATATAAGCAGCATAGATGATTTTGTGTTCTGTTAATTTCCTGGTCTCATGGTATCTATTCCTCGTGAATAAAACGTGTTACGATTGATATACAAATTTGTGTTTTGGCAGTTAAATTGAAAGAGCCTCTAGACTTTGCTATGAGACTACGGATTGCTTTAGGTTCGGCCAAGGGAATATTGTATTTACACACAGAAGCTGATCCTCCGATATTTCATCGAGATATCAAAGCAAGCAATATATTGTTGGATTCCAGATTCACTGCAAAGGTTGCAGATTTTGGACTCTCAAGACTTGCCCCAGTGCCTGATATGGAAGGCATCTCACCTCATCACGTGTCTACTGTTGTAAAAGGAACTCCGGTATGTTCTCAATCCTGTGTTGCTTCTGTAAAAATTGTTTATCATATCATGACTGAGAATTATATTTTTGACTTGCAGGGTTACCTTGACCCGGAATATTTCTTGACTCATCAATTGACAGACAAAAGCGACGTATATAGTCTAGGTGTAGTGTTCTTAGAGCTATTAACAGGAATGCAGCCAATCACACATGGCAAGAACATAGTTCGTGAGGTAATGTTGATTACATGTTAAGAGCTTGCATTCTCTTCGTGACATTACCTGGAATTAATTGGAATGGTTGTTTCTTTCAGATCAACATTGCATATGAGTCTGGTTCGATACTGTCAGCCGTGGATAAGAGAATGAGCTCGGTTCCAGCTGAATGCCTTGAAAAGTTTGCAACTTTAGCGCTGGGATGCTGCAGAGAGGAGACGGATGCAAGGCCTTCAATGGCGGAAGTTGTAAGAGAACTGGAAATCATATGGGGACTGATGCCGGAATCTCAGGTAGCCAAAACAGCGGATATGTCTGAGACAATGACGCATCCATCAGCGTCATCGGATTCTTCAATCATGAAGCTTCCTTATTCATCAATGGATGTCTCTGGCTCTGACCTCGTCAGTGGAGTTGCTCCCTCCGTTTCACCTAGATAGCAACTTTCTAGACAACTTACAATGTTTCTTTGTATTATTACTTAGTGTGTTTTTGTACAGAAAAAACCAGTGATATATGTTGCAGAGAAGTTAATTTGTCTGGTTATGTGAGTTATTATGTAGCTATTCTGATTATTTTGTGCTTTGACTTGGATCATAATGGAGGTTGCATATGAATGAACAATATGTATTACCATCAGAATAGAATAAAAAGTTTCTACCGCGGAATTAATATGTAAAATCTTGCAATTATAAGTACGCTTTCCCAAGTCACACACGACCAAATAATAATACTAAAAAAAACAGATTACAAAGATTTGGCTCAACCTTGTTCCTTATTGAATTACATTCCCGTAGCTAATTAATTAATTAATATCATAAGTAAATCCTTAGAGTCACCTTTGTTGTTTAACATAGATATGGCTTCACTAGGGGAACAAGCGAGCTGCTAAGGTGCATGGACATAACTTCGTTGGTCGAACCAACGAGCTTGCCACCTATAAAGACGGCTGGGACCGGCTTTGAACACCCTAGTCTCATTAAAGCCTTCTCGATCTCTCGGCATTCAGGGTCCTTATCGATCTCGTGAATCTTAGGGCTAACCCCGAGATCTTGGAAGAGAACTTGAACCGCGTAGGACAAACAACAGGAGCTCTTGCTGAATATAACGACCCCTTTTTCGGAAGACATTCTCATAACTTTGTCCATTTTCTTGAATAAAGGGGAAGAAGAATGGATTGAAAGGAGTTGCTTGAGAGTCTAGTTGCTTGAGTCGCGTGCTATTTATAACATGAGCGAGGAAGAATGAGAATCCACATACAGAGATCACAAAAAGATACGTTGAAAATGTTCCCCTCCCCCCTAAGTCTCTATTAAAACAACTTTAATATATGAACAAGATGATTCGATGAGACCGAACCTTTTCTTCGGCAGCCTTTTGTTTTGATTGATTATTAAGGACCACGAAGGTACAAAGATGCGGTCTTAATTAACGATCCTCCTGCTAGTTGCTAAAAAGAGAGTGTCTATTTGAAGTTGAATTAATAGATAGATGCTTGATGCTTTTTGGACCAATTCATTTGATTTCTGCAGATTCTATTGGACATATGGAATCTTGGTGGACCAAACCAAACCAAACAAAAACCACTTGCATTCTACTTTTCATAGCTATTCAAACTTGGTTGGGTCTTAAAAAGGCAAAACCAAAAAAAACCACAGCTTTCTAGCCGTGATGAATTCACGTTGGTGTTTCTTTTGTGCAAAGCTTGTCAACAAATGTTAACCAAACTGAGAACAGTAAACTGAAGATGAAGAATGCGGATAATGGAGTTGAGAATCAGATTCACCACAAAATTTAGACCGAGCTTTTTTCAATCGTTTCTTTCGCGCCATATTTAATCTGATGAGAGAATCAACGACTGAGAGTTTACAAATAAATCTAATAGAAATAGGACAATCGAACGGTTAATAATCCCTGTTATAACAATGTTAACGGCTAAGATTTTTAATACTATCGAAAAAAACAAAGTTGTTTGTATAGTCTTGTCCGTAGTAGATTAGCTTATTTTGTTTTTTGTAGTTTCCCACTAGTGCGGGTTCAATCCTTTACCAATCATTTTTTTAATTTTAATTTTTCATATGATGGAAATAATCTCCGAATTTGGATAAAACCTGTTTGCCTAATCTAGCTGATGTTGCTGCTGATTTGATTTTGCTTTCTCTTGGTTTTGGGAATATCCAAGTTTTACAATCTAGTGAAGACGACGAACTTAGCTACCATGAATCTGTGTTTTCAAAGTCCCGTAGAGTGTGGTCATCGTAGTTCCTCCTTCTCCGCGTTGAAGACCTCGAATTTCGGGTGTTACAAACTGGGTTCTTCGAATTTAGGGTTTCATGTTCGAGTTTTTGAGAATCGGAAGACGAAGCAGCCTAAGGTTACGGTGAATTCTGTTTCTTCAAGTGCGGTTGGTACAGTAGAAAGGACGGAGAGAGATGAAAGAAGAGGAGGCGAGAGTGTGTACGACGCCATTGTCATCGGCTCTGGGATTGGAGGGTTGGTTGCTGCGACTCAGCTAGCTGTCAAAGAAGCTAGGGTTTTAGTTCTGGAGAAGTATTTGATTCCTGGTGGGAGCTCTGGCTATTACGAAAGAGAGGGATATACTTTTGATGTTGGCTCTTCTGTGATGTTTGGTTTCAGCGATAAGGTTGGTTTGTTTCTTTTCCATTCAAGAAGTTATGATATCACTAGTATTGAACACAAGTAGAGAGAGTCACTTGTTTTGTACTAAGTTGAAGTACTTGGTTTCATTTGAAGGGAACAGGGGAACCTGAACTTGATTACTCAGGCGTTGAAGGCAGTTGGCCGCAAGATGGAGGTTATACCTGATCCTACCACTGTCCATTTCCATCTTCCCAATGATCTCTCTGTTCGTATCCATAGAGAATACGATGACTTCATCGCTGAACTTACCAGCAAGTTTCCCCACGAAAAGGAAGGGATCCTTGGATTCTATGGCGACTGCTGGAAGGTCTGATGTGCTTTCTTTTGAACTTTTCACGAGTGTTGTTGTGCTATATATTTATATATTTTACAACTTGAACAGATCTTCAACTCATTGAACTCCCTGGAGCTTAAGTCACTAGAAGAGCCTATTTACCTTTTTGGACAGTTCTTTCAGAAACCGCTTGAATGCTTAACACTCGGTATTCATCTATATCTTCTGGAAAGAATTTGGACTCCTAAATCATGTTTGATGTGTGTCTTATAATTGATTGCTACGAGAGCATATACGTCTGCACTGATACACGCAGCAAAATATACTGACATGAATCTTGTTTTGTTATTTTCTGTGTTGTATAGCTTATTATTTGCCGCAAAATGCTGGGGCCATAGCTCGGAAGTACATAAAGGATCCTCAGCTATTGTCTTTCATTGATGCAGAGGTGAGCATTTTTTTCTTTTCTGAATCTTGACAAGTTTCTTTAACCAAATTTTATAATCAGAACGTAGCATAGTTATCACCCTTCATATTTGCCTGCAGTGTTTCATTGTGAGCACAGTCAATGCTCTACAGACGCCAATGATCAATGCAAGTATGGTAGGAGTCTTCTTTTGCCACTAAGTGTCTACTCGTGTTTCTATTTTGGTTCTTTTCTTTTCTTACATGTTCAAGGACAGGTTTTATGTGACAGGCACTACGGAGGAATTAACTACCCGGTTGGTGGCGTTGGTGGGATTGCCAAGTCTTTGGCAGAAGGACTTGTTGATCAGGGCAGTGACATACTCTACAAAGCTAATGTGAAAAGCATAATACTTGATGATGGAAAGGCTGTAAGTCTGTATGAGTCGTACTAAAGTTATACTTTTCCTTTGACTCTTTGGCATTCCTTTTTGGTTATGAAATCTTTTGCTGGACTTGAACTTTCAGGTCGGTGTTAGGCTAGCAGATGGAAGAGAAATTTTCGCCAAAACAATAATTTCAAATGCTACAAGATGGGATACATTTGGTAAGAGAAACAATGGCTTATTATTACCAATGGCTTATGTAACTGTTAAATAGGTGTTTTCTGTTGTAAGAATACTTCAACTTGTATTGTTGTTGCTTTAGGGAAGCTTTTAAAAGGAGAAAAACTTCCAAAAGAAGAAGAAAATTTCCAGAAAGTCTATGTCAAGGCTCCATCATTTCTTTCAATCCACATGGGTGTTAAAGCAAAGGTTCTCCCTCCAGATACAGATTGCCATCATTTTGTGCTAGAGGTTTGTTAGTTACTAATAAGATCTATTTCCTTGGCTGATTTGGAAGTATTCAATTGCAACTTTGTTCTCTTGTTGCATATGTAGGACGATTGGAAGAATCTAGAGGAGCCTTATGGTAGTATTTTCCTTAGCATTCCAACCATTCTTGATCCATCTTTGGCTCCAGATGGTCGACATATACTTCACATATTTACAACTTCCTCAATTGAGGATTGGGAGGTAAGGCTGATTTTAGAGGGGTGAGACTAAGCATGAAATATATATCTATTAGTGGAGCTACTAGTTTTAATTGCAATTTGTTCTCAGCATGAGAAACGTCATCTAGAATTGGCGTTGCTATGCCCATTTCTTATGACTTATTTTTCATCCAATTTTCGGTATTAGGGACTCCCTCCAAAAGAGTATGAAGCAAAAAAGGAAGAAGTGGCAGCTAGGATAATACAGAGGCTAGAGAAAAAGCTGTTTCCAGGGCTCAGTTCATCTATTACGTTTAAAGAGGTTAGGATTGTTCTTTAATCCCCCTACGATTTGCCATGGACATTGTATTAGTAGGTCTGCATGATATAATACATCTGAACCTGAGGTGCATGAGAGCAAGCCTATGCCTTATTTGGTATTTAGCCTGTCTATCTAAACGTTTTTTGAGGCAGGTGGGAACACCAAGGACACACAGACGATTTCTTGCTAGGGATAAGGGAACTTATGGGCCAATGCCGAGAGGAACCCCAAAAGGTTTATTAGGCATGCCGTTCAATACAACGGTAAGCCAACGAATGATATAGAGATAGCTAACATCAGGATTAGGATAGTTCTGCTGGTGAATGGTTTGGCTAATGAAAGAATGGTTTGACGAAATAATAGGCTATTGATGGTCTATACTGCGTGGGGGATAGCTGCTTTCCTGGTCAGGGAGTTATAGCTGTGGCATTTTCAGGAGTGATGTGTGCTCATCGGGTAGCTGCTGATATTGGTGAGAAAAGGCATATTTTTACAATATGTTGAATAGACTGGTTGATTACCTATGTGCAGAAGAAACACTCACTTTCGTGGTTTGATTGTTAGGGCTTGAGAAGAAATCACGGGTACTTGATGTTGGCCTTCTTGGTTTACTTGGTTGGCTAAGGACACTCGCATAAATCTAGTGATTGGTTATACTTGCCTTGTACGTACAACGCCTAATTTGAAAGAGAGAGACAGAGATCACAATTCAATGAAAATGTTCCCGGTCGGTAAGATTCGATGAGACCGAAACTTGCTGTCTCAACGATCCTCCTACTAGTTGCTAAAAAGTAAAAAGAGAGTCCATTGAATTTATGCTTTTGGACCTTTGATTTGTGCTGCCGATATTGAGAATAACAGGGCCCTGGAGTTTTTGGTGAACCAATGTGCAATGAGGACCCACTTGCAACCACTCGGGCCGAGTAAATAATCTGTAATGAGAAATAGTACCCAATATTCCAATCTGAGAACGTGCTCACTTTTAGAATTATTCAGAGGCCGTAAGATTAACCGGAGGCAAATGAGTGATCCTTGTGCTTAAGGTGTGATTAGTTTGGAGGCAAAAGAGAGACCCATATATGTGCTAAAGGTGTTTGTATTCTGGGTTAGCAATTGTACCAAATAACGGTGATGGATAGAAGTCATAATAAAACATTAACTTATTATTAATAGATGGAATATTAAAAAGCATCTTTGAGATTTTTTCTTCGATCACATTCTCATTCCATTCCACAAATGCGTCATCTTCTTCTTTTATTATTATGTTTTCTCTGTGATGTGATTGGAGATAAATTTCGGTCTTAATTTCGTGATATAGATGAATGATGTAATGCAACGAGAGGATATAATGACAAGAAACAGAAATAGATGTTGAGTGTAGGACAGTGTATTAATAAATTATTGTATGTTAAGTTCAACGTATCTGTACTAATGTGAAAATGATCCTGTACATTACATACGCATGTTGCATGAGCATGATTTTTATATGATTGTTTTGTTTGTTTACACACGTATAAAAGGAGGGTGCAATTAAATTATCGTTACGACTCTCTGAAAGTCATCAATCAAGCTTTCAACAATGGCGACCATTCCCTCCCACCATTACCTTCGTCTTCCTCATCCTATCAACCAAAAAACTCAGCACTCTCTTTCTCTTAAACCTCACTCTACTCATATTACTACTTTTCAGACGATGAGGGCTATCTCAAGAACCAACGATGAGGCTTCTGTATCTTCAAGGGTCGAGCCTGAAAGCTATGAGCTGACCACTGCGGAGCATATTCGCCGGCGGGACAGCGATGCGAAAGAATCCAAGAGTTTGAGAGACACGTGGCGGAAGATCCAAGGGGAAGATAATTGGGCCGGGTTATTGGATCCCATGGACCCGGTTCTGCGATCCGAGCTTATCCGGTACGGGGAAATGGCCCAGGCCTGTTACGACGCCTTCGACTTCGATCCATTTTCAAGGTACTGCGGGAGCTGCAGGTTCACGCGCCGTCACCTCTTCGAATCCCTCGGGATAATCGATTCCGGCTACGAGGTGGCGCGTTATCTCTACGCGACGTCGAACATCAACCTCCCGAACTTCTTCTCGAAATCGAGATGGTCCAAGGTGTGGAGCAAGAACGCCAATTGGATGGGATACGTGGCGGTTTCCGACGACGAAGAAGCCTCGCGCCCTCGACTCGGACGCCGTGATATCGCGATCGCATGGAGAGGAACCGTCACGCGGCTCGAGTGGATAGCGGATCTCAAGGATTTCCTCAAACCGGTATCCGGAAACGGAATCCGGTGCCCAGACCCGGCCGTCAAAGTCGAATCCGGGTTCCTCGATCTCTACACTGACAAAGACACGTCCTGCAAGTTCTCGAAATTCTCGGCGCGCGAGCAGATTCTGACGGAAGTGAAGCGGCTGGTGGAGAGGTACGGAGACGAGGAAGGAGAAGATCTGAGCATCACCGTGACAGGACACAGCCTCGGCGGCGCATTGGCAGTGCTAAGCGCGTACGACGTGGCGGAGATGGGTCTGAACAGAACTAGGAAAGGAAAAGTGATACCCGTGACGGCGTTCACGTACGGAGGACCGCGCGTAGGGAACATCCGATTCAAGGAGAGGATAGAGGGATTGGGAGTGAAGGTGCTGAGGGTGGTGAACGAGCACGACGTGGTGGCCAAATCGCCGGGACTGTTTCTGAACGAGAGTGCGCCACACGCGCTAATGAAATTGGCGGGAGGATTGCCGTGGTGTTACTGCCACGTGGGAGAGAAGCTGCCGTTGGATCATCAGAACTCGCCGTTCCTTAAGCCTACCGTTGATCTTTCAACTGCTCATAACTTGGAAGCTCTCCTCCATCTCCTCGACGGGTCAGTCTTTTCTTCTTCTTTCCTTTTTTACTTCAAAAGTAATAATAATCTGACATTTTAAAAATACAATCACTTATTACTAATTTTGGTTTAAAGATCAGTTATATAGATAGTAAGATTTTAAAGAAATGTTCTTTAACACACAAAAATAAAAATCAGCTGATAATTAGAGAGAAGTTGGACAGAAACTTCGGACTCTCTTTTTTTTTTTTTTTCTTTAGGAGACAAAGTCTCAGTGTATCTTTTGAGTTTTGATAATTTCACATTTTCCAACGACCTTGTAATTAATACAGTATGATCTTAAAAATAAAATTGCTTCACAAAAATGCGGGTGTGGACTTTAGGATAGGAGTTAATTAATGATCTTAGTCAACCTGATATACGTGTCACTGCTTTAGTGTGTGGATAAAGAGAGTTGTGCTTTGATGTTTACGTGACTTTTTTTTTTCTTCTTATGTTTACGTGACTTTGGAGCACAATATTAATAATAAAATGACTTGACGACTCTGGATATGGAGAGTGTATAAAATGTTTCTGGCAAATGAAATTGAGGAGAAAGAAAATACAGGTATCATGGGAAAGGACAGAGATTTGTGTTATCAAGTGGGAGAGATCCAGCGTTAGTGAACAAAGCATCTGATTTTTTGAAAGACCATTTCATGGTACCTCCTTATTGGCGCCAAGACGCTAATAAAGGAATGGTCAAGAACACTGATGGCCGTTGGATTCAACCTGATCGCATCCGTGCAGAGGATCACCACGCTCCTGACATCCATCTTCTTCTCACCCAACTCCATCATCCATCATAATATTTCTTTTTGTAATTCTACTTTTGCATCACTGTTTTTTCACATTACAGGGAAACAAATAAACTAGTTTGCAGAGATTTGTAGTTTTCATCAAAATTGGAGGAGGAATCATCTGATATATATATATATATATATATATGCATAGACTCGGTGTCTCAGACTCTCACTCTTATTCAAGCTCGTCAAAAGAATCCCACCAAGAAACAAGACCTAAACCGTCATCATCTATATTCCCCTGCACAATTCACAACATTCATTGATTACTGGACCAAAAAGGGGACAACCAAAACAAATACAACCTACGTGGTCTTGTTATTATTATGCAAAATACAACTGGGGAAGTCTTTGAGAATGAAACTTACTGTGATCACCATAGGAGCAAAAGGCTTTGCATCCTCTGCTCGCTCAATTGGAACTGATGGATAGCTGATGCCCTCAACTCGAAACTTGATCTGCCATTTCCAATGCTACGTTACACAAGAGACCATTTTCGAAAGTTTAGACTTTAAAAGAGCAACTGAGGAACCAAAAGTTAACCTGACAGGAATCATCGATAATATACTCTTGTCCTTCAAATACCCACACCCATCTCATTTGCTTCCTGTTAACCAAAAAACACTAAAAAATCTGTGATCCAGTGAAATATACAGATGTATGCAGGTACAAGATCCTACTCATAGTTGAAGAGCTATAAATATTCCATGAAGTGCAGGACACAAATTTCCTTTACCTGTTATAAGGGTCAGGCTCACAGCGGTTAGGTGTCGGTATAAGTGGAACTGGCACATAAATGTCCTCAAAGAATCCAAGTGTTACTGCCAAAGCATAAATTTCAAAGATTAACAACAGCCATAAATTTCAAAGCATAAGCTGTCTTATAAGTAGCCAATACCAAAGAGAGACTAACAACGCATTAGAGTAACAAGATGTAGATAGTGCACAACATTACAACTCTTCCAGGGAATTTGGTAAACTATAGTACTCACAGCGCAAACCATTGGTGTCAGATTCTTTGAACTTTGCAGCGATGACCTCACCAACAAATGGACGAAAGACAACAATTCTAAAAACTACCTAAAATCACAAGACAAACAAAAAATTAACAACACAACAAAGCATTCCAGAAGAAGAGAAAGAGCAAAAAAGACCAAATTGATCAGATAAAAGGGAGAGAGATGAGAAAAGATCCGTGATTTGAAAATACCTTATAAGTGGCAGCACCATCACCGGGTAAAACAATCCCTCCTTCAATTGATTTAATGTCGTAAACAGATACACAAAGCCCTAAATCTACTAAAACCTTTAACAACAACACATATCCACTTTGATAAAATTAGCCAGTGTGTGTCTAAAACAAGCAGACAGTGGAACATACAAGAATAGACAAAGGGGGCAATGAGCAAACCTTGTCCAAGAACACATTCTGAAGCACTGACTTAATGGCATCTTCGAGTGGGAGGTTAAGTAGATGCGGAGGCACTCTTAGTGAATGTTCGAGCTCGCTGAGATAGAACATTTCTTCAAATCCTTCGAAGTTTAAATTCAAAAGTCAAGCAGATGTATCGAAACAAAAAAAATAATAATAATAATAATCAAAGAAGTAGGAAATTATCTAAAATCGAACAATACCTAAACCACAGAAGACGTGATGGAACTTCGATGGTGAAGAATACGAAGACTAGGCAGAAATTTGAGAATATATGTATGTATAGGGGGAAGAGAGAATCCGAGTCGATTGAGGAAGAAGAAGGAGCGAGCAAGGAGACGGGGAGAGGAGAGAGATTTTACGAACCCGATTTAGGGTTTAGTTCATGTTATAATTACAACAAACCGATTACAAACAAACTGATCGGTTCGTCCAAACCGACTGAATAAAGTAAATTTTAAGTCGTATTAAAATTTTCCACAATTTAAACTATTTAAAAAATTTATATAAAAAAAAAATTTATTTAAGTTTTTAAAAAAAATTATGTTGTTTAACGTAACAGTGAAACACTCTTCTGACTTTTTTTTTTTATCGTTATCCTAGAATGAAGCAAATCAGTTTGTGTAATAAACCATTATCGGTTGGCTCAAGACAGAGAGAGGATGGGGGAGAAATCAATCAACAACCACGAAACTGATATGATGGAATGAACTCACGGGCCACGGCTTGCTTTACTTTACTTCAACGTTGGATCTTACAACATACATGTATTATGATGATTCTCTCTCTCAAGAACTAGAAGAGAACTTGATTTATTACAAAGTAAAAAGGATGAAAGGATTTAGATCTTGTGTGTTTGGTTCTCGGTTTTCGAATTCAGACAAGAAGAGTAAATAAGAAGAAGAAGAGAGTATCAACCTTAGTTTGGTTGTTACCTTTGCTTGGACGAGTTTGGTGTATTTTCTATTTATACTACATAGTGACAGTGTATATATGATTTGGGCTATCTCAGCTGTTACTTTTGCTTTTTACTGCTCACAAGTTGCAACGGTCATATTTACTGGCTTACGATTATATCAAAGAGGTGTGAGAGAAATATGAGACAGGTGAACCATCAACTGACGCCGAAAAAGAATAGTGGGGCTATTACAACGGGATTTATTATAGACAGCTACAAATAGCAATCTATATATATAAAGTTAGCTTTTTCTCTCTTCTCATTATGCCACCTAAACATCCACCTAAGCCACATTTTTGTTTAAACATTAAAATAAATTTAAAACATTCATTTAGTGCATATTTATGTTACTTATTTAATTAACAAAAAGTTTATATAAATAAAAATAAATTATGTAAAAAATGAAATGTTAAAATAATAAAACAATACTTTAATTTTTTTTATTAGTGGTAATAATATAATTCAACTTTCATTTTAAATTGATCATAATTGAATATTTTAAATATGTTACTGAGTTTTAGAATAAAAGTAAAATTTAAATTTATGGTAGACTAAAACAACATTTATGTAATTGTATATATAAAATTATAAAGAGAAAAAATAAAATGAAAGTGAAATATTAGTTTATAACATGATCAAAAAGAAAAAAATGATATTTCATAAATTGAATCAAATGCTTTTAATCCAAATTTGAGTATTGAAAGATAATAATTAAAAAAGAAAATAATTATAATATTTTTTGAAAATCAATTAAAAAATAATTAAATATCACAATATGAATAAAAAATCAACGAAACAAAATTATAAACCTCGCGCGGAGCGCGGGTCAACTGCTAGTATTTAATAAATTAAACATGTTCGGAGTGAGACCTTGATTCTCGGCTCCACTCTCCTCAAGCTCTTGATTTTTATCTCTCTTCTCTGCCCCTTTAACAATATCATCATCACAAATGTGGATATTGTAGCTGTCTGTGAAACAATATATCTGACTCTTGAGGTTTGTATAATCGGACCATCAATCATTCAAAAATAACATATATTCATAATCGGTGAAACAATATACATCTGACGTATCCAAATTGATCATCTACCCATAATCGATTTGTATTAAAGTAACGTGTAACACATATCTTAAGCTTAGGAATTGGTTTCATATATTCCAAAGAAAAATAACGTGTAATCAATCAGTTACGCTTATAAACCGAATCGGTACTCTTTTGAGAAATAACGTGTGGATTATTCTACATAGCTCTCTCTCCATAGAAAGACAACACTGTTATGCTGTTACTAAAGTCTAAGATTAAGCTCTGATGACAAGTATGGAAAAGGCAGAACCAAGATTTACACTGACGTGAGTTAAAGAATGAAGCTAATCATAACACATTGATAACATGCTTGAGTAGCTTGTTTAACAAAAAGAATCTGAAAATTGAACCTAAGTTGTCTAAATTTGTTTATTTTTTTTCTCTTTCGTATCAAGCGTGAAGGTTGCACTGTTGCAAGTAGGTGTGATGGTAAGGAACGTGTATGTTCCAGTAACGTTTGTATTTCTCTTTTCCAATGTCCAACCATGGCTTCATTATCCCATCATAGTGTATAACTGCAGCTTGTTCAATGTCAATCGCTCTTACTCCTGATTCACGACCTAACCCCATCACATGCCATCTCTTGTCCAACGCTAATGTTTGCCTATAAAAAGTTAACCAACCTATTGGTAAGCTCCCAGCTTTCCACAATGGCCTCTTTGTTCCCTGCCAAAATAAATATATCCCCAAAACCGTTGTTAGGTTTACGTCCTTTACACATAAACGACGTGTGCATGTACATGAAGAAGATATGTTGTGCTTAACCACTCTTCTTCTAGGAGATGAACTAGTTTTCCTTATGTTCATTAGCTAGTTATAGCAATGTATCTGAGTTCTAAATTCAAAACAGTTCATCCCCGATATAACCTATCTGAAACCCAATAATTATTTCAACCTTTTTCCATATGTAATGGCGTATAAACAAATCTAATAATCCATTTGAAAACTTTGAATATGGCTAGTCTTAGTTACATAAGGAGAGCAAGTGCAGTAGAGTGTGCGTATGGCGTACCAGGTTGAAGTATTTTATGTATGTAGAAGTCAACTTCCGTCTTCTCCATTCTTCAAGATCAACTAGATTCATCCCGAATGCCCAAGTGCAAGCTCTAGCACTAAATTTCCCAGAAATCCATGTATCCGAGAAATTAATAAATGTGCTCATTGAGCGAAATGAAGATGCACCTTCAAGACAAGTCTCTACTGCTCCAACCACCTTTCCTTTCATATCAATGCTCCACAGTCTACTTAAATCTCTTTGAACCACTACATCATGGTCAAAGAGTACCATCTTGTTTAAACCCGGGAATATTTCCGGGAGAAAAAATCGTGCGTGATTGAGGGTAGAAATGAATCTTGGATCATTAGAGTTTTGCTTCATCAGCAATTGATCATAATCCGAAGGCAGGACATCCATATCATCAATGTTTAGGATTTGGATAGTAGCTCTGCTTTGGATGTTTAGCAGAAACCACATTGAGATTGCTGGGTAATTAAGTGAATCTGTCACAACATGGAAGACTATTCTTTCCGGTTCCTGCAAACAGCAATCAGAAGCCAGATTAAAAAATGCTAAAGCTGAAATAAATGAGACGATATAGTGAAGACACTTGAAACATAATATATAATACATACCAAGTAGAAATGTATAAAAGAAATGCATGATACCTTTGAAGAAGATATAGTAGAGTTAACGACGACTGAAGAGGCCAAAACATTGTCAGAGAAGACAACATAATGACTAAAAGTAGGGTCATAATAATTTTGCTGGTTAGGCATCTGCCTTTTATCAGGATCCAGTGAAAAGTATTCTGATGTCAGTCGCATTGAGAGACAGTGAAGCCCTTTTGGGGTGGTCCTTGCAGCAAGCTGCATTAGATATGCTGCTTGGTTTTTCTGCGCCTGAACTTGTTCTTCTGAGTTATAATTCATGGCACGGAGTTTGGTAGCAATGGCAGGACAATTGTTAAAGACACGACTAGCCTTGTATAACACGGTTTCCATGGGCTTCACCCTGCGAAGAGCGCTGAAAGAAACAATCATGCCAGAGGTTACTATAACAATCTTCTAAACAATACCCTTTTTTCACTGAAAGGTTGTAGTTGTAGCAACAAGTTTCTGAATGCAATCATGGTATCCACTCCTTTAGAACCAAGCAGTCGTTCTTACCCCTTTGATAAGTCTTTATCCTTTGTCGCATCACCAACAGACCGATCCAGCTCTTTCATCCGAGATCTCAACTCCTTCACTATTTGAGAGTTACTTCCAGGTGGAGCGAAATTAAGGTAGGCTTTAGCTTGTATAATTTTGTCTCTGATCTCCTTTATCTTCACATCTGTTGCTCTATCGGGCTGAACCCTTGTGTTTTTCTCGCTCTTAGATAAAGGGGGCTTGAAATCCGTTTTATCAGAAAGTTGGTTGACTGTTGGTAGAAATTGATCCTGACACAAAACAAACCAAAACATTGTAATCTTGAAACATCTGATCTAAAATTTTTGATAGAAAGCAAAACTTTGCTTGTATTCCTTAGATCAACTTATCAACATAGACTGCAATGCCTTGGAATCTGATTCTATGATTCCATAAAGGAGTTATTTCATACCCTGAGCAATCGTCAAGTTCACAATACTTTATATCAGCTGAACTAATCAAGGTACATGTTATCTTCAAATCGGTAGAATTTATATATACACACCTTTTCATCAGAGCTAACTGTCACCTTCTGTGAAACTATAACTTGTTCATCCCTGTTTTTGTGATTATTACCTACAAACCATGATCACTACAGATTAGAAATCTGAGGAGTTAATGACATCAGAGCATAACAAAGCAAGGTTGAAAATATGATCCCACCACCATCAGTTTCAACAGACCAATTATCCCGAACTACAGAATTAAGTTCGCCATCCTTGAAGAGAATGAGTCTTGGCCCCTTCAAGCCTTGTCCATCCTCCTAAATCACAGAGGAAAACAATGTCAACTAACTGAATGGTCAAAATGTATTAAGGAGATGACTCCGACAACTTGTAACTTACATGTTCAATAGCGCTAAGTCTAAGGTCATTTGTCCTGAATCTCTGCAGAATAATGGTAGACATTTAAGCAATATAGTGTATTGATCGAGAAATATAAAGCATCAAGCAAAACAAGAATAAGATCTGAAAACTTGGCACAACTAAATAGCATGCTGAAGGTTTTCTAATCGGATTAAGGATTTTTTCAATCTAAACATCTAGAACGATACTATCTGATATCAAAACAGAGAAATCTAGGACCAGGAACACTTACAATTCTGGATAACTCTTCAATAAATTCTCCACGACCTGCCAGAAAACAATCCGCAATCCAAATCAAAACAAAACTCAGATGCAACATCAAACAAAAAGCAAAGGCGATGGTGTTTAATCATGAGATTCAATTCAATCAAAGATCAAAATCCATCAAAAGCATTTCCACACGATCGTCCAGGACAATATCAATGACACAAAAAATAAGAAGGATCGGAGACGAAGCTAACCAACGGGAGTGATGCTCTTAAGACGATTCGAGACGAACACAAGCGGAGCGAAGACAGATATCGATAGCAAGGAGAGGAACATAATCCTCTGCCATCGACGAATTTGCTTCATGAATAAGCGACACAGCAATCAAAAACTTTTCCCCCACAAATCTCGCTTCTTCGAGAACTAATCTTATCTCATCAAACCTTGGATCGCTAGTTCTCCGGGAAGAAGCCGCAACCGTCCGCAGTACACAGAGGGTCGGAGATTTCCGGCTTGATCAACAAGCAAAAGACAAAACGATGAACAACTTAGGGTTCCTTCTGGGATTGGTTGCTTTAGACGATTATATATTCTTCGCTTTAATTTCTGGGTTTGGAGGGGAGTTTAGATTCAGAGCTTCCTCATGCACCATTCGGGGATTTTGCTCTTGTGTAATTTAATCATTTTTATTTTATTTAATTCGTAGTATTAGGTTTATGTTGAGATGTGTCAAATGTTATGTAGTGAGGAAGGAGCAAAACCAAGGCAAAGAATGCAGTGTTGCGGATCAGGTGCGGGCAGGTGTACATGTGAAGGCATGTGATTATGCCGTTGATGAAGCTGTACGTAATTAATGGTCTTCTTTGCACTTTTTTAATTAAATTCTCACCAATTAGAAAAAGACACGTCAATAGAGTTTTCTCCCAGTCCTACAAGACAAGAAAGGAATTTTCAATTGGGCCTATTTGAAGAAAAAAAAAAGATATTAGCATGCCGGCCAGAAAGAAATAGCATAAATAGTTTTAAATTATTATGAGCAAAATTATTTTATATACAAAAAAAATGTTAAGGTGCTTCTTAAAAAGTTGTGTTTAACTAGGTCAAACAGGTGTTAACCGTTGACTAATGGATGTTTTGTTCTTTTACTTTTATTTTTTGCTAAGTCAGATTAAGTTGGTTTGGGGGGGGGGGGGGGGTTGATTGTTTGTTTAGTGAATAAGTTGGCAATCTGCTTAATTCGATATCAAAAACTGACGGGTCTTTTTTAATATATATAATAGCTTAAAGAAAAAAAGAAAAACTTTGTGTAAAATGGTAGAGTAAGGTGTACATCACAATTGGTTAAATGCAATCGTGACAGTAAATAAAGTTACCACAAACCATATCATAAAAGGATATATACCTAAATATGCGCAATGCTTAAGTTATCAAAAATGCCTAGTTGATGTATTTTTTCATCCTAACATCAAATTGTTGCCGGGAATAAATAACTAGCTTTGTATATGAAGAACATATGTTTACATGAGGATGCTAGATTGATTTTTCTTTTTGATGCAAACACATGGAATGAATGACCTATGTTTCTTGGATTTTTGTTTTCTTCTTCTTTCATTCCTATACTACTAGAAACCTTGGTGGGAGTATTGAAACCCTTACTTTTTTGCGTCAATCAATTGACGAACGCGGGGGTATACAAAGTATGCAAGATACTGAATAGAAAAAGCCCTTATCGGCGCGACGTTACCAAGAGTACCAAGAGATATATCTTGTCTTGTCCCCGATACAACAAGTATCTTTATTTTTTGGCCGTTGTTGAGTCGCATGTATGTTACAACATTACATACTCATTTTAGATGTATGCCAGATTCATCTCCACGCTACATTATTGTTGTTCATCTGTTGAATCTATCATGGGACACCTCATATATAGCTGGAATATCCAAAATGTTACCACCATTTAAAACATGGGGATAGTATAGTAGCATACTACTTAGTAGTAGTAAATAACAATTTCTCACCCAAAAAAAGGTCAAGATATATCTACTTATGTCCATTTACTTTGTTTACAAAAAATATATTTTGCCTAATTAGATTAACGAAAACAAAATAATATGTTGACCACAATATAAATAATACACAAAGAAAAAGAACGTATTTGAGCACTCGACGAGAGAGCTGCTGTGCTGAGCAATAGACAGAACACAAAACCCTTGTTCCTCCTCCAATTAAAAAAAAAAAGTGTGACAGCCCGTCTCTTAAAAGTTAATAGACGACGACGGCTTCTTCTCTTCTTGTCCGAATCGTACGTCAAACTCTTCGATATCTCTCTCCCCCCAGACCGTATCATTTAATCCTCAGATCACCATCACCAGCGACCGAACGAGAGAGATAGAGACGACTCATCTTCTTCCGTTTTCGTCAACATGCAGCCTTGGGGATAGCAGCAACGTGCGAGTGATTGAGTGAGGTAGAAGAGGATGGTGAGTAAGGTGAAGACAGAGACGATGAGGGCATGCCTGAGCTGCCCTCTCTGCGACAATATCCTCCGTGACGCCACCACTATTTCCGAGTGCCTTCACACATGTCAGTTCCTCTTTTCACCCACCCACCACCACAATGTTTCGAATTTCGCTCCCATTTTGCTTTAATTTCTTCTCAATTTGATTGTTTGCAGCTCTCAATTAATATATATATCTCTCTCTCTTTCTTCTTCTTCATCTTCGTCTCGTCCTATTGTGTCAAAGGATAGTTTTTTGTTGACCAAAAATATATGCAATTTGAACTGCTTCAGTTTCTCCTTCTTCTAAGTCAATTTGATGTTATTTGGATTCAGCATTTGGTCTCTGTGAATACATATGTTAGATGTCATACATGAGCTCAGTGTTGTGATACTCGTGAGACATGTTTGGAACAATAGAACGACACACAGAAGCTGTTTTTTATTTAATTATCTACATGAGCTTCATAATTTGGTGTATTAAGTGGATCTGAGGCTTGATTACTTAGGATGCTTGTGTCTGAGTCTTGGTAGGAAGCTTATCTCGTTTTATTCAGGCTGTTGAAATTATCTATGAACGTGATTATTATGTTAAACCAAACCGGAAGATACAGATCCTCTGGTCTACGAGTACTGTGTAATCTGAGAATTTAAATGATGCTCTAGGAGGCATATTTATTAATCTAGCTTAAATGGATGTAGTGGAGGAAGTCCATAGACTCAATTTTAGTTTCTTTAAGAATATGAGATTTTGGTCACTTTTGATACAAATCATGTTGTTAGTTGATATCTACTGGAATGAAACAACTTATGATTACTTTCATATTTCAGTTTGCAGGAAATGCATCTATGAGAAAATCACAGAGGATGAGATAGAGAGCTGTCCAGTATGCAATATCGACCTCGGTGGCACCCCACTTGAGAAGCTGAGGTTAGTTAATTATACACCATCTCATCAAAGTTCTGCTTAGTTTGGTTTAGCAGTCATCTCCTTATTCCTCCTGTCCATAGACTTGTTGGTAAGATGAACTTCTGTAACACAATTTCTGGAATCTTGTTCTCTTAGTCTGGTAATGTACCACATTTGGTAGCACTTCCACTATTTTTTGTGTGTAAATGTCATTTATAGCATGTTGTAGGAGAATGTAAAATAGGATAAGTATGGAATCTCTTTTTTTGTTTTTTACAGTACTTTCCTTTACCTGTCTCGTTATGTACATCTGGAAGGTTTTTAGCTGATTTAAATGTATGTTAAGGAGTCACTTGTATGCATTGTTTTAGGCCTGACCACAATTTGCAAGACTTGAGAGCCAAAATCTTTCCTCTTAAACGAAAAAAAGTGAAAGCTCCTGAAATTGTGTCCTTACCGGCAAAGAGGAAGGAGAGATCTATATCGTCTTTGGTTGTGACCACACCTAGGGTGTCAGCACAAACTGGAACAACGGGAAGAAGATCTAAAGCGTCTACAAGAAAAGAATTACGTAATGGTTCTTTGGCTGAGAGAAGTGTGAAGAAAGAAGAATCTTCTGGGGATGAGCTCACAAACTCACCCGACACTCTTATCAAATTCACTCAGAAGAAAAGGCAGTTGAAGAAGGTGATCACTGCAATGCTCTATTTGCTCGAAAGGCTTCATATCTGACAATTTTGATGACACATTTTTGGTACACTAGAAAGTCATTTTAAGTTTTCTTCTTGTTTTGCAGTCATGTAAAGTGTCCTTCTCCAATAAAGAAAACAAGGATGGGGATGAACCCTGGGATTCCAAACTGGATTGGAAACCTTTAAACTTTCTGGTTGAAGTGGCAAATAGGACAAAGCCCCCGAAGTCTTCTGCTTCTCAAGGGTCGGGCTCAAAATCTGAGCTTGCATCTCGCAATCAATTTCAAGGGTTTAAAACCAAAACTAAGGATCCAAAAAGCAAATGTAAACTTGAGGATGAAAAGTCTAACAATGGTGATCCTATGACATCAGAAACAGCTACTCCTAAAAGACTGCGTAGGACTAGACGCAAAAGGTCTGCAACCACTTTTGGTGATTCAAGAAATTTGGCCCAACCAGATGAGGCAAGTGCACAGCAGGAGAGGAGAAATGGTCCTGTGTGGTTCTCACTTGTGACCTCCAATGATAAGTGAGATTCTTGCTCTCATATCTGAAACTTTTTTCCCCTTTCATAAGTGAGATTATTTCAGTTTCCTTTGTATGTTGACAATGGGCTTGGTGGTTTCAGGGAAGGAGAAACTTCTTTGCCTCAAATTCCATCAAGTTTTTTGAGAATAAAGTAGGTTTCATGTCATTTTAAGTATTCTTTGTTTTATATATCCTGTGTCGCTGCATCTTACATAGCAACTCGTACTTTTGAAATTCATAGTTTTTTCTGTTGTGAAGAATTCTTTTGTTGAGGACGATAATCCGATGTCTCATTCTTTGACAGGGATGGAAACATTCCAGTTTCTTTCATTCAAAAGTACCTCATGGGGAAGCTAGATATCGAGAGTGAAACTGAGGTAAGCATCTCTAAATGTACTATGGTACGGTAGAGGATAGAACGTTTGAATGTAATGGAAGCTGAGTAATGGATCTTATCGGTTCTTTAATGCGAACAACTAAGTACGGCCTGTATTTTTGTTGATAATAGATAGACATTTAATGGCTTTTTGTACAGATAGAGATAACTTGTATGGGAGAGGTGATGATCCCGACACTGAAGCTTCACGATGTAGTGGATCTATGGCTGCAGAAGAGTTCAAAGCACCAACGGTTTGCTGCATCGATAGGTTCCTCTGGAAAGGATTTTATGATGGTGCTTGCCTATGCTCGGAAGCCACCAAAGTGCAACAAGTAAAGAGACTATAAAGAATCCTGTTGTTGCCTATTCTGTGGAGACAGAGAAATCTTTTTTTACTTTATGGATTCTCAAAAAGCGTTGCAAGAGAGAACATTACTAGACCTGCAGGAGCGGTCGAATTAGTTGTAACTGTTCTTTTATAAACAACATATGCACTCCTTAGACGCTTTTCTATCGTAGCAAAATACAAAATTTGTCTTTTCCTTCTCTCTTCTTCTTCTCTTATCTCTATGTGTCCTCTTCAGACTTGCATGTAATGTTGTTGTCACTCTCTAATCAAGTGTTGTAGTTTAGATGTTCTATATGTTGATTCTATGCATTTATCTCTGCGCTACATCAATTTTATGGAAGCTATTGTTTCCAAAATTTACTGTTCAAGTGTTGACTGTGTATGACGAATGTTGAAGGGCGATGAACTTATATGGAAGCGGTCAAGCAGGAAACTACGTGCCGAATTAACAACATATTATCTAACGAAGCCAAATGGAATTCAATATCACTATTTTCGTATTATCGTGAGATCCATTATGTTGTGACATGATGATCATCGTGTTTTATTCCAAACATATTATGAGTAGCATGCATATCCATATCACATATTGTTAAAGATGTTCAACAAAGGTTATACGTGTGTGTTTTATCTCACATATCGTGTTTTATTTCAATTCATGTTTCACCACATCTAGCCAGATGCTTAAAGATATTCGTAAGAAGAGAAAGATTAATGATGAGTGAATTAGTCCATTTACAGTAAAGTGCATAGACGCTCATGTACATACATAGGTTGCTTTTACGAAATGTAACCTGACTAACCTCTATGCATCATGATTTATAACTAATTAACTTTATTGAAATTATTATACACAATGTTTCACCAATTAATTGATCACATACTTAAAATAGTAGATCACAATATACAGTATGAAATATTTCTTTTAAAAATCCGGACTCTTATTTAACATAAACACAGCACACAATATAGTAAAGATGTGAGAAACATATTATAGAAGGTGGTCATCTAGGTTGGTATTCAATCAACTGGATTAGATTAAAAAATCAATCGAAATTACATGTTTAATGGTTCGGTTCACTCCTTAGTTTGTCTAGTTTCGTATCATCATAATTTTTCATCGAACTTCTCTTTTGCATTATTCGAAAACCCAAATATACTGTAATACTATCAAGAAAAACACTAGTTATGACATATCTTGCTTCAAACCCGTATTTCTCATTGCACAATAATCTGTTTATCACGGTTAGATAATCAAACGAAACCTCAGAGAATTATCTACACAATGCAAAAAACAAAAACGAATTTGGTCAAGTACGTCACGAGTTATGATCAAATGAATCGAGTCTAAAAGCACAGCAAATATGCACAAAGCATCTAATCCACATCCACTAACTCACTCATCCCACCATCCACACTCCTTCTTTCTAAGCCGTTGATAAGTTTAGATCTAACGATCGGTATTCAAACTTGGGAAAAGCATAGCGATCCGCGTACTCATTGTTTTAACCAATCAGAGGACAGAAATGAATTGCCGTCTAATACACATCTAACTATATATAAATCGGACGTTCCCGATGGTCTCATCACAATCCTCATAATCAGTTTCGAAATTACATTTACGGTTTCTAGCTATCAATATTTTTCCGATCTTAAATTCCGATGACGACTACTGAGATGGAGTTAGAGAATACTGCTTCGATCGACGGAAACACAGCTGCCGATGCATCGGTGAAGGAGGCGGCCGTCGAGAAGAAGCCTGCAGCGAAGCCACGCAAATCGAAGAAAGTTAAGGAAGTGAAGGAGAAGAAGGCTGTTTCCGCCGCTGCTCCCAAGAAGAGAACTGTTTCATCTCATCCTACCTACGAAGAGGTAATGAGAGATTCGATTTAGCTTTTTTTCGTGTTTGCTTAAACCGTATTTCAGATCGTGAGATTTGGAGATTGATTTTGATTTTGGTTGTTTTTTTTTGTTGCTGTGATTTTAGATGATCAAGGATGCGATTGTTACGTTGAAGGAGAGAACCGGATCTAGCCAATACGCGATTCAGAAGTTCATCGAGGAGAAGCGTAAGGAGCTTCCTCCAACTTTCAGAAAGCTGTTGCTGCTTAATTTGAAGAGACTTGTTGCTTCTGGGAAGCTTGTCAAGGTTAAAGCCTCGTTTAAACTTCCGTCGGCGTCGGCTAAGTCATCACCTCCTAAGCCAGCGGCGGCGCTTTCTGCACCAGCCAAGAAGAAAGCTGCATCTGCGGCGGTTGCCAAGCCCAAGGGAAAGGTCGCTGCGGCTTCCAAATCTAAGAAACCAACGGCCGTTAAACCCAAGACAGCTGCTGCGAAGAAAGTGACTGCCAAGGCTAAGGCTAAGGCCGTTCCTCGTGCCACTGCTGCACCTAAGAGGAAAGCTGTTGCTGCGAAGCCTAAGGCTTCCAAGGAGAGACCAGCCAAGGCAGCCAAAACGGCCAAGGTTACATCCCCGGCGAAGAAAGCCGTTGCTGCGAAGAAGAAGGTTGCCACGGTGGCGACGAAGAAGAAGACTCCGGTGAAGAAGGTTGTGAAGCCAAAGACGGTCAAGTCTCCAGCAAAGAGGGCTTCGACAAGGGCGAGGAAGTGAAATTAGGGTTTTTAGGTAGAAGAAGGGTTAACGATAGGTGGTTAGTCTTGTATAATTCAATGATCCTTATGTGTGACTTCTTTGCTTTTCATATCTCAAGTGTTCTTGTAATTCAATGGCTTCTTGAACTACTATGCTTTAAAAATCCTATATATATATATAAAGATAAATCTGTTTTCTATCAATGGTGGAAGAAGCATATTCTGGGTTTCTTGCAGACAATTTGTGTCAGATTCTTGTTGAATCGTGGAAGTTATACAACAGTCAACAATATGTTTACTCCTAAGTATTGTGTGTAACAATCTCAACAAATTTATGTTCTACGTTGTTGATTTGGTGACAGTACTAAACCCGAGACTTTGCTCTCTTTTGCTATATTTTGACTTGATCAGTTTTCAGCTTTTGGTGTTGATGAGATATCGTTGTTGGTGTCGTTGAGGTGTTGTTTAGATCTTTCTACTTTCTGAATGGAGTATTTGAGTTCTTGTTGAATGTTAAACCTTGAAGGTGACAGAACAATGTCTTTCCAGATTGATCCTGCTTCACAAGCAGGATTTGGTTGATTATAGAGCTCGTAAATGGAGTCTGCGTTTTCGTTCAACCCCCCTACTCGCTTCAAACACTCTATCTCCTCTGGATCCACTAGCAATGTCTTTTCCTTTTCTTTCCAACCTATCAGCTGCCACAATCACACTTCACCTGTTAGCATATTCTTATCGACACTATGTATGCACCAATGATATAGGGATGTTTGTATAGGTGAGAATGGTCTAACTGATGAGATGTTGCTAACTCTATATTGTGAATTTTTAGCTAGCCTAGGAGTGGTGCAGGTTATTGAAGGGATATGTGAATGAGTTGGGGAATTCTAAATTGGTCTAGGATATTGCCTTAGGCATTAATCGAGAGAGACTTCTCTGGTGAAACCATAATGTAGGTTCTTTAATGAGTTTACTGCTTCCAATCTCAGTACTAACCTTTGGAGATCCTTCAAGCGCATTAGTGCAGTAGAGCCTAGCATTGTCAACAAGGTTGCAATACGTAGGAAATGCATCCGCAAACCGTTTGTGAGATCTCAGCTGCGATCTTACCCTAACCGCTCTTCTACACATGATGGCTCTCCTACAATCTCATCCAAAAACACTCTTGTAAGTTAAGAGACAAACTTGAAAGATAGATAGATAGTTGGTGCTTGTACCCCACCTAATGGCTCTTATAACTGCTAAATATGCATCACACACTACTCCAACTAGTTCAATCCTATATGGTTTTCTCCTACGCCCATCCTCTTCAAGCTGTTGCCTCTCACCAATCCGTTCCCAATAGTTCTCTGTGACAACCCCATCGTCACCAACTTTGTACCCAGCTCCCATTCTGTAATGTTGACGATGCACATTCCTCGCCATTGTTATTGTCTGTACCACAAAAGGTACCCATGAGAGTGTCCCATCCATGATCACATCCCTCCCTTCATTCAGGGCCGTCACTAGCAGTGATGAAGCTGCATCTGTTGACGACTGATGAACCTATTCTCACCAAAAATTTCACAGCTCAACACAATATTTTGATCTACTTTACAGTTACTTCTGTGTGTTTTCCAGAATTTGATCATCATGTCTTACCAATTCAGCTGTCTGGATCATATCAACATGGCCACGAGAGCTTAAGGCTCTGTAAATGACATCAGATTCTTTGAAAGCATCAGCTTCAATCACCACAGAGTCTGCTCCTGCCCAGAAGGCTCTGAATCCATAATGAAAAACCATCAGGTTATGGTTCTTTCTATGTGTACTAGAAAGTGATGACTATATAATGAGACATTTCTTTACTCTTTGAGTATCTCCTTGAGCACAGTGCTTTTTCCTGCACCCATCCCACCACCCATGAGGAGTAGAACCGGACTTCGGTCTTTGTGAGCCACTGGTGCCATAACTTCTGTACACTGTGAGTCATCCACAGACGCAATCCCCATTGCTTTCATTTCCTCTACCAAAGTGTTGAACACCCGTGCCACTTTTAAGTTCTTAGTCACCCTCTTAATCCTCTGCTCCCTAGATACAAATAACACACAAAATCAATCATTCATCTATTAATATAAAACAGAAGACACTGCTTTCCAGTACAAAAAAAAAACAACTCCTGTTTCTGTTTCTCTAGTTCCTTACCTTGTAGCTGCCATTACAATTTGCTTCAGCTTCCTCTTTGGCTCAGCGTCCGCGCTCAGTATCTGAGATGTTTATATGACATTGAATGTTTTGGTCTTTAAATGTGTGTTATAACAGGAGAAAGGATTTCTTTTACACACGCAAACCTGACTAATCATGAGATCGGCGTGGCTCCAGTGATAGGCAAAGTAGCTGAGAATGCATCTTTCAAACTCCTCAACAAGCTTAATGAAGAGGGTGTCCGCGTCAGGCTCTTCAGAGAAAAAGCTGTAAATATCTTCTTCACAACATTCAGATTTCCTGATGTATTCTGCTGCTAACTTGCAGAGATTTGGACACTCTCTCCTGTCCTTGAATCCCATTTGCCTTGCTACGTTTCATGTCCCAAAATCAGAAAAAGAAAGCGTTAACTTATGAGCCAAGGCATTCCATGCTCATGGAGGATAATGTTTGAGTATTTACCGACGTAATGAGAGAACCTCTCGAGCTTCTCATGGCCTTTGTGTTTGTGAGATAATTTAAGACGAGGGATGATTTTGGAATCACGTAGCCACCGCAGACGGTAATGCACTGCGGCTGCTATCATCAATCCTATCGATGACACCACCAATATCTGCGAGTAAGTCGACGTTTTGCTGCCGTAATATTCTGTCAAAAACAACAACACATTCAGTTTCATAACATCAGGAATGAGAAACTTGCAAACAAATAGAAAACCGCAATATTGGACCTCTCTGCATGACGATGGATGGATTAGTGGGACTCGTATGGATCAATTGGTGTGTGTTTTGATGAAACTCAGACTGTTCGTCGTCGCCATTGCTGTTTCTTGAGTCTCATTGTGTTTTCGTTTTCCGTATTCTGTGGCGAAGATTCATGAATCTGACTTCGTTAAACACCATCCAATTTAGTCGTACGGTACTAAAAATAGCTGAGTTGGTCTTGGAAAACTAATTATAGGCAGAGTCATCCCTCAAACTATTCAACAGAACTGTATGGCAAATTCACTGTCTCTTACTTAACGAACAAAGTAGAAGAAGGTTATCAAATTCACTGTTTAAAAATATATAAAAGGAAGTAGCATGCTACATTTACCTAAAGCCATAGCTTCTAATTTCTAATAGTCGAGAGCATATCCTCTACCAAAAAATTTCCTAAAACCTATTAAAGCCAGTTAAAATAGTACTACTGTTACATTACATAGGAGCAGTGCAAGTTGTTCTGAAATGGCCCAGCTGATTACACCGACCACAATGAACCGCACGCTTCACACGGCCACGATCCTCTGCTCTAACTCTCCTCTTCCTCGGAGCACCTCTCATAACCTTCGGTGTTCTTATTACACCTTCGCTATCTATCTCTGAATCATTTTTTTTCCACTGGACTTCGTCTGAAACTGGCTCTACAGTTTCTGCATAAGTTCTTCTGTAATTTTCCACCGTGAACCAACTCTCTGTGTAATCGTAAACGTTCTCTTTGCAAGACAAGAGAGCTCCAACGGCATGGCTACACGGAAAACCGTAAACTTCCCACCGGCGGCACAAACAAGAACGATTTTTAATATTTACAACAGCATTTCCTTCATGAGTCATGACTTCAAATTCTGCTTCTTTTGCTCTGTAAACGCGCTGAACACGCGATTTTTCTACAGCAGCAACCATTTGATTTTCAGCAGAAGGAACAAGGACATCAGACCAATGTGAGCTCGTTTCACGGCGTTCTTTGAACATATTCATCAAATGGCCGTGGATACACTCCATCATTTGTATTATAGGAAGACCCGAGGTACCTTGAATCCAATTGCTGAGGGACTCGGTAATAACATTTGCAGTTAAATGCCCAAACCTTGTTCCTTCAAAGTATGATGATGCCCATAGAGCAGGAGAGAAGTTTTGGATCCATAAGGAAGCCTCCGGTGATATCTGTTCGATCTTGTTCATTTTCGATTTGAACTCAAGGACAGTGAGAGAATGTGCAGCCTCCCAAAGAAGGTTCACAAGAATAGAGCTTTGAAATTCCTTTTGGAATTGTTCTGCGAGATAATGGACACAAATGCCATGACATGCTGTTGGGAAATTAGCCTCCACCCCATCAGCAGTAAATCTCTCCATACTGGACAATATGGTAAGCTTTGGCATGTTCTCAGAGTTAACTTCAAGAATCTTACGCAGCTCCGAGAGAAACCGACGCCAGTTGCTGTCGTTTTCTTCATTAACAATAGCGAATGCCAAAGGAAATACAGCTCCATCTCCATCAAATCCAGTGGCAAGCAGCAACGTCCCTGGATATTTGCTCTCTAAAAGAGTATTGTCCAGTGCAATAAAAGGCTGGCAAGCATTTAGAAAACCAGTGATTGATGCTCGGAAAGAAATAAACAAGTGTTGAAAGGTCCCATCGATAGGATTTGCATGAACCACAGCGACACTGCCAGGATTAGTTCTTCTGATTTCATAACAGTATTGGGGAAGAAGGCGATATTCTTCTTCAAATGACCCAGCAGATGACCCACGAAGAGTAGCCATTATACGCTCTTTCCCCCTCCACGCCTGCTTGTAAGACAGTGAAATCCCATGAACTCGATAAATTTCCTCTAGAATCTCCTTTGGTCTGAAATGCGGATTTTGTTTAAGCTTTTCCGCCACAACGTCAGCAACCCACTGGACAGAAGCTTGCTGATGACCAAGATGTGAAACCCCACCACAAGTGTGACTCCCATGGATAGTCCTTACTGTAAAAGTTGGCGCATTAGGAATTTTGGCGCAGTGAATTCTCCATGGGCAACCCTCGCCCATGCACTTTGCGGTGAAGCGGGTTTTGTCAGACTTAATCGTTTGCATCTCAAAACGTAGAGCAATAGCTGCGTTTTTGATAGCTCTCCTACAAGCATTGGCATCTGAAAATTCCATACCAACGACCATTTCATGCTCAGTACGACCTGCACCGACCATAGACCAGTGTTGAGGGTCAGGAGAAGCCTTTATTTCTGGTTTCCGAGAAGACTCCATCCCCAACTCCAAGTTATCATGGATATCTTGGGATTCTTCCGTATGGTTGGTTCTAATTAGAACTGATTTGTCAACCTCGGAAGTTGCAGAGTCATCATTATCAGGGAAAGAGAGATAGGCATCATTTTGGTTTGCATCAAAACGTGCTCCTTCTTTGGCTTCATCGTCGTTAGGGATCCTAGCGTCTTGAAGACTGATGACTTTGTGTTCTTGGAGATGGTTCCAGACCTGATTATCCTCACAAGTAACACCAATCTGGAGGTTAATATCGAGAAGCTGTTCAAAAGCGGAATTGTAGTCATGACCAGAGAAGAGTTCGTAGTGGTGCCGAATTCCAGTAAAATGATCCTGCTTGAATGAGAAATCACGCTTCTCAGACTTCACCAGATTGTCGTCTTCCATATCAAGCAATTAACAGAGTCCCCTTTATAAAATCACCTGTCAATACAGAGAGGACAACAACATCATTAGTAGAGAATTTCCCAGATCACTAAAGTACTAGTATAGTGCACAATAGTTTTAAGCATATGGCAAACATTTGAAGGAAAATAAAAATGTGAGTCATACGATTCTAAGAAATAAAAAAGAAACGAAAATATTAAAGCGCCTGAGGAACATAGAACCCTACAATCTACCCAAAAAAAAGAAAGAGAACAATTTTAGTGAACAGGGTTTATTAAAGTTCAATTATTCACAAGTCCAAAAATTTAGAAAATTGATCATGCAAGCACATAGAATAGAAAATAAACAAGGCCAAAGTACAATGCTTTCGAACAGAAGCAAATTGCAGAATATAAAAAACAGACAGTAGGAAAATAAGAGGAGATTCAGAAATCATGGATACTCACTCACTCAGTTGAAGAAGAGAATAGAGAATGGAAACGGAATCATACAGTCAAAGAGAGAAGGAATTTGGCGGGTAAGAATCGAGACAGTGTCTGTGTGTAGCCGGGGGTTTAACTGTTTAGGCCTTTTACAAGTAGAGAGAGAGAAGAAGAAGAAGAAGAAAGGGGAAGGCGACGAACAAGATTTTGTTTTTCTCCTTTCTCTTTCTTTCTACTGAGGAGGGGTTTTAAGGGTATTTTAGTCCTTTGTGTTCCGTCTCCTTAAGTTGCTCCTTCAATGGCCGCCCCACTTAATAAGGGTTTTACTTTTCTCGAGGCCCACATGTTGGCCCAATCCCTAATTATTGTAATAAGTTTTATATCTTCTTAAAAAACTCTTTGGAGATTAAACGTTTTTCACAAATTTCTTTTTAGATTAATGTAAAAGCATATTTATTTATTTATTTTTGTTTACCTGCTTGTCTAAACATATGCGACTTTCAAACACAATTCCGACAAACCCAGACCAAAAATTGCATTTATCGATTTGTAAACAATAAGAAACAAACAAACAAACAAAAAAAAGTACCAAACTTTTCCCTTTTGTGTGAACTCTACTACTAGTATATCACTATTGCTGTAAGATCAGCTTCTCTTTCATATCCCCCCCCCCC